CAACTGGCCTTTGATAAAATCGGCACGAGGAAAAAAAAAAAAAAAAAACATGCATATGGAGAGAGATAAAAACAAGCAGTCACCTCTGCAACATCATCGAAAGAGTTGCTTAGGACAAGAGGTTCTCAACAAGAATGAATTTCTTAAGCTTCAGAGAGGTCGAATGTGGTCAGTCCTTTATTTATTTTATAATGTTCCTCACTACTTTATCTATAATAAAATGTCGAGAAACCTAATGAACTAAGTAGCAACTTATCGCTGAGTTCAAGTAGACAACGCAGACTCAAGAAGGATTAAAATACCCTCTTAGTCAAATAAATGATAACAGTTTGTCCCTTTTCGGACTTACAAGAAAGCCTCCATTCGGACTTTTAAATAAGATAAGAAAATAAGAAACTAAACTAATACTAACTAAAATAGACTTAGCCGAAGCTAGACACAAATATCTAATGTAGTTGGCCCTTAATTTAAACTAGCAGGCGAATATCAACAGGCACGTACAATACGGCCGAGCGTAATAGATTCAAGAATGAAATAGCCAGAAGGCAAACATGCGCCATTAAGGACTCCTAACAATTCTCTTTCGAAGTTAGTTAAACTTCCTATAAATATTACTTCTAACTCATTTGCATTCAACGCGATTCTAAAACTTCATTACGGAAAGGATTTGTAAGTGAGAAACAAGAATTGAAAGGAAAGGGTTTCAAAATTGTTATAAAATTAAAAACACTTGTTAAGTATCCAACAACTTGTTAAGTGTCTAATTTTCTTTTACGAATATAAAAATGTCTTTTATTCAAGTGTTTATTAACATTTTCTATACTTTTCCTTGTTTTATTTATGAAACACATTAAAAAGTAATCTAAATTTAAATAAATGTATAAGTATTTTTGGAGTTTTGGAAGGGAAAGGTATGCTCGTCTAGCAATGGTGAAAGGGGTGCATGGAGCAAAAAAGGTTGAGACCCACTGATTTAGGAAGTTACGGAATTTTCGTTTGGGTTGGTACCTGTACTCACCTCTCCGTCTCTTAAAGAGCGTCAGTCGTTGGTGTCTGCTATTGCACCGAGGTTCTCTTGCCTTCTATGAGTCTGCTTAATAATGTTGTGGGACAGAACTTCCTCTTCATCAACGACAAGGTTACTCACCGCACAGTAGCTGTCGCAGAGCTCTTGGAAAGTGAAGATATTCAGCTCATGCATTGGCCTACTAGGTCTTCGGATCTACTTCCTTAGAACACACGTGGGACCTTTGAGAGAAAATTTTGGCAACACGTGACCAGCCTTCAGCAACGATTTTACTGCTGATACTGGCTTTACAAGAAGAATGGGCTGCAAAGTTTCAACAGCCCCTTCAAAACTTGTCTTCAGCACAGACGTTGTAATTTTTATGTCGCAGTTAGGAGTAATCATTACCCCTTCTAAAAACTGGATTTTTCTTAACAAGTTCCTCTCACATGGACATTTTTGTCTTCTCGTCAGTTGTGCTCCCTGCAGTTGAGCTATTTTTTTCAATAAAATGCCTTTTTATCTTTTTTATTCCTTCATCAGACGGTTTTCGTCACCTGCCCCATATTTTCACATCTTTATTTTATGGTATGATTTGGGTCGATACGGAACACCTTTGCATGATGTAACATTCGAAATCCGCCTTGTCCTTAAAGTTTGCACACCAATATGTGAGCAGATCCTTTAAGAACTTGAGATCGCTTGAAAGCGGTAAGTAGGGCTTAAAAGCATAAGCCTGCGATGGTTGCGTTTTCTTACTTTTGACAACTGATTCTTATGTAATTTCTAGAGCTAAATCCGGAAATGACAAATTTCCAGCCTTATCAACGGCCAGACTAATTTATTGTCTTTACTGTTCCTGACATTACAGAGTCGTAGCTAGGGTTTTCAGCGCCCAGGGACAACTGAAGATTTCGCGCCCCCTACTGCTTGCCAAGGATGGAAAACATTTAATTCTAAAATGTTGTAACATCAGTTCGGCGCCCCTCCTTGGATTCTGCGCCCGGGGACAGATGCCCCCCTCTAGCTACGCCCCTGTGACATTAGAAAATTCAAAGATGATATGAGAAACAAATGGAAGTTGTGGAAAATAAACTTAGAGAGCCATATAAAGACAGCAAACCACGTTTCTGGGCAATAACAAAGATCCGAACAATAACTGAGAACATACTGCTGAAGTAGAAAAGTGTAGGCTGTTCCACAGCTAAAAGTTTCATTTCCTATATTCACATTTGGACTGTTCTGAAAATCTGGATGCCGTTAGCGAATAGATAGGTGAGAGATTTCACTAAGACATCAAAAAAGTGGGAAGGAGTTATCAAGGAAAATGGACTACTTTGACAATGTCTAATTATTGCTGGATGTTACATCGAGACGAACCCGATCAAGAATATAAAAGGAAAGCGCAAAGCAGAACATGAGCGGCCCACGGAAACTTTGATGCGTAGAATAAAATTATGCATTTTACGTACATTGTCTTAGTACAAACTAAAAAAAGAATAAATTCTAAGAAAGAACGTTTTTAGTCTCGAAATTGATGATTTCCAAAAAACTACAGGACACAATAGGAAAAAATAAACGCTATTTCCGAATTCAGCGCTATAAAATATAAGAATCAATTACCGAAAGCTAAAAAACATGATACAAGCCATATTTTGTAGGCTTATGAAGTTCTTACAAGTCGTAAGACTCTAGCGGAGATTCTCTACAGATACACTGGGATGTGACATATTACCCTCAGGAGGATGTGTTTGAGAGATTAGGGCAAATAATCCAAATTGTTCTCAAGCCAGGATTTGTTTTAAATTAGGGATGCTCTATTCGAATCATAGGAATTTTATGGAATATCTGGGATTTGCAACTTTAGAGTCCTAATATAAAAATTCATTAAACGTTGTAACGCAAAATTAATGTGTATATATATATAATATATATAATATATATACATACATATATTAACTTCTAACAGAAGCATTCATTAAAGAAAGAATGCCATTCTTGCATTTTCAACGGATCTGAATATAAGTATTACCTTATGACAGTCTTCAATGCCATATTTTAACTTTTTGGAGAGAATTTAAAGTTCCATGTTATCTATGTTAATTCTTGAAATGATCCTTCTCTTCCTACATTTACTTTGATTTAAAAATGTTTCGGTAAAGTTTTAAAAATCTGAGTTGCTAATCAAATAATTTTTATTAGATTACATTCAGAAAATAAAACTCAGATAGTCACGAATTTTTATTATTATACACTTCATTTACAAATTTTCATTTGTATCTGCTTAATAAATATAGATATATTTAAAAAAAACTGGATTCTTTAATTTGTTTTTCATTAAGCAAAGATTTCAAATTTTGCTTTAAAACTTTTAATAGTATGTTCCCCCTTTCTTCTTCTTATTCAATATTTGTAATTTGTGTATTAGATGGCACCTGCTGGCAAGATGCTGCCCTTAAAATATCTCCGAGTCCGATCCCTGCAAGCAGTCGGGCAATCCAGGAAACTGTTTTAGATCCCCTAGATATCAGAAGGACAGCGTCAGAGCAATTACAGCAAACCCATACTTGCCCTGTCTCTTTTTTTTTTTTTTTCATTTTTAATCTACTTTCTGCACAATGTTTCCAGGAAAATGCTTGCCTGGCATTAATTTTTACTGCATTTTACTCTATAAATTTACTGTAGATTTGACATTTGTTTTGAAATGAAGCAGAAGCAACTAATTTATGCCATTCATACAGTATTTCACCAAAAATCCCGCAAGTGTTTCAGTGAAACTCTTAACGATGGAACTGCAAAATAAATTATAGATGACAAAATGTTAGAATAAATGCAAACCGTTTTGAGCTAGTTCTCTCAAAAGAAGTCTTTTGCCTTTTACTTAGCATAGTTTATACGGAAGCAAAGGACAGCTTCAGGAAATAACAATCCATTCAAAACGATTTTGAATGCCATCGCCAAACAATACCCCCTGGAAATAAAAAAGACCATTCTATTGATCCGCTGACACCGAAAATACAGTGTGGTACATATCGTATCTATATTAATTTAAATAACAGAAGATGGTGAGTGCTTTTAGAAACTTTATGAAATAACAGCATACATAGATGCATTTAATACAGTTATACAGACAATAAATACTACATCAAAGAACTCTGAAAATAATATCCTCTATATATTCTGTTAAAGTCATGTAGAAAAGCTTTCATGATGTGTGTCAATATGGCTTGTGGAATAGCATGTCTGATGACAATTTTTAATTCATCAATTGTCCACAAACGATGTGCAAGACTCTTTTCTTTGGGAAATTTCAGAAGATGCCCAGAACTGTCAAAATAGGAAATCAGACTATTTTGAAATGTTTGCTCCTACTGTGGAGTTTTCTGTTGGAGCTAATTTGTATCCACAAGTTGTCTTGTCCAGACTTCTGGTAATCTTCACTGTTCTGCAGCAATACACACAGAGCGTCTGTGACTTCAATCACTGCAATTTGCGACTGCACCAAGCCGCTGGTCCACGGTATACCAATAGCTTGACTTCTAGGTCTGCATAGGTGAAGGTATTCCACACATACATTCTAGCAAGGTTGTTAACTCAGACTGGTAGATACAATGTGCAACATCCTGTATATTTCATTGTCAATAGATTGATGATGGTGTATTGATGGGTATACCGTTTATGCATTCTAGCAAAGTTGTCAATTCAGAGTGGTAGATATAATATGAATAACCTTGCGTATTTCATTGCTAACAGATTGTTGGTGGTGTATTGGCATGTGCTAATACCCAAGTACATGTTTTTTTCTTATATGAAGGATTTAGAAATATTTTAGGGATCTCTATACAAAGTCTTTAGCATCATCAACTAGCAGCAAAACGCTGTTGTACCTCTAATCCATATTCGTAATATTAAAGATTTTAGAGCTAAATGAAAACAATAACAAAAGCTTACAATGATTTCAAGATAAGTCTAAAGTAATCTCAATCTGTTTCAGAATTTAAACTTTGCATAACAGATCCAGGTATTCCTGTGGCAATTACCGTCTCCTGCTCTACTATCAAGAATCCTGAATGGATGGAGTCCACCTACAACGTCACCAGTGATGAAATGAAACACACACTAATAGATTGTGGAGATAGTGCAGCAATTCAAAAGATCTACTTTGAAGATGTAAAAAGTGCTATAAGAGTCACCTTCACATGCATCATGCTAAATATAATATAGATATAACTGGCTGATAGACTGCTATAAATCTCTACTAAAGACCAACATTTCCAAAATGAAACATAAAACCAAATAACAAAAATTAATAACTTCTTTATTGAATGGAAACTGAGATATAATGCAGCCCACACAGAAAATGAACATAAGTCTTAATTTATCTACCACAGTTTTTACATGATATATCTATCAAATGTATTTCTTGATCTATTTTATGTAGTAAACATGAATTAAAGTTCTTAAATCTTAACTATTAATTGTGTTCTTGATTTATCTTATTTAATAAACTTTCATTTCCTTTACACAGGTTATGTGACCAAATGAACATTTTATTAGACTTGAACTCTTTATACAAACAATGCAATATCTAATCTCTTATTTTTATATTTATGGTTTTTTCATTAATAAATTATTGACCTTGAGATGTGTTGCTTTAAGTTATAACGAGGATATGTTACATATATTAGAAGCTCAGTTATAGGCTCAAAAACCTGATTTATGTGAAAGAATTTGCTTGAAACACATATGTATCTCCGAAACCAAAAGTGATGATGGATATGCTCAAGATAAATAAACTTTAAAATGTTTCACGATTTAGTTAAGCAAATTCAGAATTAAAGGAAAAGTTTATAATTCTGATCACTCTGACCTAATTCCGTTTTTGCTGCAAATCAGGTAAGGGCTCTATTGAATATGAATTCTCTCATATGAAATATGATCACTCTGATCATATCATATGAGTTCTGTTACATACTTTCTTTAGTAAATCCAGATAAATGTTTAAGCATTTTTATACATTTCATATATAGTGAATGAAAAGTTGCTATCATAATTCAGTTAAGCAAATATTGCTGCAATTTAAATGTGGAATTTTGTGGTAGTACATGTTACTTTGACAATTTAAATGAAAGTTTTTTTTAAAAGTATTTTGCTCTATGCAAGTTTCAGTTTGAAGCGGTGAAAATAAATGTCAAATATAATACATGAGTTTTAAGTTTGTTTTGAAAGTGTTAAAAACAAAGCAACAGAACAGGTATAGCAAAATATAGTTTCAAGTTCCTATAACTTTGCACGAAAGCAAATTATTGAAAGTATTCTATGATAGCTTATTTTCTGAAAAAGGTATAGTGTATTTTATATATTACTTCAAGGAAATCAATAGAAAGTGATATAAAGTGAGTTATTATTTTGCTTTTGTATATGTATGTTTGACGTGCACAAAATCCACACAAAAATATTTTAAACCTTATAACAAGGTGTTTTCATAAACTAACTGGACAAATTAAAAGACCAAACAATGAAATACAAAAGTGAAAGAATAAATATATGTTTAGAAAGAGTGACAACTCAGCTCTTAAAGCTACTTTACACTGGTTATTTTGTCATTTTGAAACTGGTTATCTTGTCGTATTGGTAAAAGCTGACAGACTTGCAACAAACAATTCAGCAACTTTCATAGAAGCTTAGAATAAGCTAGAAAGCTTTACATTAATTTTAAATGAAAATAAGGGAAGTTTGTGCTTGATTTGAGAACAGCAAAAAGAAGATAGAAAAGCCGGCTATGAAGATTTGCCGATTACTGCGAGACAGAACAAGATCTTAAAGTGTATTATAGCAGGAGATGAGACCTAGTATCAACAATACAACCCAGAAACAAAAAGAAAAAGTGCACAGTGGAAAGGACTGTCACTTCCTATACAAATAAAAGCATGGATGTTGAAATCAAAGTCTAAGGTGATGCTGACTGCACTTTTTGAGTAAAAACGACTTATTCACTATGAATTTGACCCTGAAATTCAATCAATTAAATGCTGATGCTGATAGCATTTTTAGATTAAAAAGGATTTATTCTATTCTCTGAGAATTTGTATCTGAAACTTAATCAAGTAATCAGCATTTTTACAAGGAGGTGCTTTTCCAATTAAGAAATGTGAAAAGGTTAGTTAGGGTGACAGTTATTTCTGGGCAATGGTTTCTTTTACACGATGATGCTAAGTCCCATACAGCACTGAACACCAATAGTTTGCTAAGCATCCAATTGCATAGGTAAGTCATCAAATCTATTCTCCTGACTTACCATCAGCTGATTTTTTTCTTTTTCCAAAGCTTAAGATGGTCATGAAAGGACAGAGATTTGAAAACTTCATAGATATTAAATCTAATATTATGCGTATTTTATGAACAATTAGTTCCAATAGCTGTTAAATAGTATTTCGATGATATGAAGAAATGTTAGAAAAATTGTATAGACTCCCTTGGCAATTATTTTAAAGGAGATAAATTTATTTGAAAGTTAGTAATCTTTTCCTTATTTATATGGGATTGTCTGATTACTTGATGGGCACACCTTGTATGTTGATACTAACTGTTTTAGGTGTACATTTTGAGGAATTTTATCAACTTTCATTTAAGTATGGCTTACTTAGCAAAAAGTAAGAAGCAGTGTTCCGTCTTTTTGGTAGATAGGTGGCGCTCTTGATGCGTGCCGATGAAAAATATTTCCACTTGACGCTTGAACATGAAGAATGACGCATGTCATATTTATTTGATGCTTGATTTATGTTTCATGGCCGCTATAAGCGGAAGTAATATAAGTTTATCGTTAATAAATGTATTTCTATGTTCTAAGAAATCTTGAAGTTTTGATTAAAAATTCTAATGCTCTCCCAACCTTGACTCTTGAAGCGAAACGATCTTTGAATTTATGACTCATGAAAAGAGACACCAAACATTAAAAAAAAATGTGGTGTCTCTTTTCATGAGTCATAAATTCAAAGATCGTTTCGTTTCAGGAGTCACAGTTGGGAGAGCATTAGAATTTCAAATCAAAATTTCAAGAGTTCACGGAACATAGAAATAACATTTATTAACGATAAACTTATATTAATTCCGCTTATAGCGGCCATGAAACATAATCAAGCATCAAATAAATATGACATGCGTCATTCTTCATGTTCAAGCGTCAAGTGGAATATTTTTCATCGAGGGTTTGGTTGAATTAGTAGAGATACTAAATGTAGTGACAGGAGAAATTCCTGTAAACAGTAATGCTATAATTACTGCTTCCACATATGATGCACAGTTTATAAAAGACTGTTTGTACCACATCATAAATGACAGGGGTGGAAAAAATGGAAAAATAACGTGCTGAGAGAAAAAAAATGAGCAGTTGTTTGAATTGAGAAAATTAAAACTAAAATCCAGTATTATTCCTAGTAAAGTGGAGTTTGCAATAGTCTTCTTCTGCAGATGCAGAAATGCCCAAGTTAGAACTCAGCAAGTTACTTCCTAATTTTGATCCTATAACAGCCGATATAAATTTGTTTCTGGACTTGTTTCAGAGGCAATTAACACTTTTGAAGGTATCAATTTCAAAATGAGTAATCTATCTTATTCGTCTTCTGCCACCTGATGTTGTGAAACTAATTCCAAAGAAATCTAATGATGGTCAGGATTTTAAGATAAAAAAGTTCTCTTAAAGTGCTTCAAATTTAGTGCTCAGAAATTTTGGCAACAGTTTATCCAACAGAGAAAATGTCCCGAAAACGCATGGCAAGACTTTTATTTTGACTTACAAAACTATTTCAATGGATGGCTGAAAAAGTCAAAAGTCAGAATGTTTGAGCAGTTAAAGAACTCGATACTGGCAGATCTAACTAAGATGAAAGCCTTTCCCACAGATTAAAAAGAACATTATTTGGATCACTGGAGCAACTGCAACAATCCAATTCAGCTTGCAGACAAATTCGATCTGTAAGAAGAAATTAAGACATGTAAAAAATAAAAATGCTAGTATATCACTCATCAGTTATTCACCATGGCTGTGAGAAGTCATGCTTCATTAAATGCCCCATTTGTTCCCCCTATCTTAAAAAAGCACAAGCCAATTTCAGAGGTATACACCTTCAGACATTCTCTGTTGAGCTCCAGGTGACTCTTTTGTAAAAAATTAATAAAAATAAACGGTTGATTGGAACTGTATGTGCAGCCACACTACAGAGGAAGAAACATATTTTGCGAGAATATACTTCTAAGAGAATATAATTTGAGGAAACCAGTACCTTTGCTGATGGTCCCAAAAATGAAATAGAAGTTTATATGACACAAGCAGAAATTGAAGGGCGATCATTCCGAATAACTTTATTTGGATTACATACAACAAAAGATAACAGTACACTTTTAGGAAGACTTTCTATAGGTAGATCTGAAATTATTTTAGACATTCCAAATCATAAATAATACTGATGATGTTTTCAAATCATCTGAGCAACGAGAAAAGAAAGCAAAATTTAACATGTTTTTTATCTAATGAAAGTGAAGAAAAACATCTGCCCAGTTCAGATATCTTTCAACCATGGGAAGAACCAACACCAAAAGTCCAACATTACATTAACATGATAAACCAGTTAACTGTGATTGATGAGTATACTCGTCATGGAGAAGCAGCACGATTTTGTGTATTGACGAATATACTCGTCATGCATATAATGAAATGGAAAGATAAGCGGGAGGTTTATTTAGTAATGTACATAATGACAACATAAAGAAAATAGAAAAATAATTACAAAGAAACTGGAGCTAGTGATTGATTATAATAAAAAAATGGGTGGAGTGGATATGAGTGATGGAATTATCATAACATACTCCACAGCAAGAAAACGACTCAAAAAGTACTACAAAAAGATATTTCTACATTTTTTAGACATTATGTGTCTGAATACATTCATATTATATAAAAAAATAATAGAATATTATCGCGTATCTAATTTTTGCTCAAATTTATTGAAGACACTTTTGCGACATATCCAATTGAAAGAAATAATTCGACAAAAACTTGGCAATTTAGGCCAAATATAAGCCAATTAGGGGGGAATCATGTTCCGGATTATATACCTGGAACATCGGGGGAGGGGGGGAACATGCGAAAGTGTTCGCGTAGCTAGAAACGCAAAAAGATGAGGAAGGAATCGCATTACTGGTGTTCGATTTGCAAAGTCCCATTGTGTATAGTACCTTGTTTCGCTGAATATCACTCCACGGCAGGAATTTAAATTCTTACTGTATAATATTTAATTTATTGCGTTTTTAGTTTAATGTGTATGTAATATATGCTTATCTTAACCAAATAAGTACATATTAGTAATAAAATTTTCAATTTTATAAAATAAACTCATCTTTTTCATAAAATATCTTACCAGCGCAACTTACTCTGTGATTGACGAATATACTCGTCATGGCTTGATTCTGGCAACACAAAATGGTGCACACTCTTAAAATGAGGGTGCCACAGTTAACTGGTTAATAAACCCCAGTTCCATTGTATCGTATGTCTCCACAAAATAAATAGAAAGAACACAAATTCCAATGAATGCTATATTTGTGGAAGAACTGGTTACATTGCACAGACCACGTGAAAAAGTGTTACATATGTGGAAAATGCAAGCATATATCTAGAGATTGTGAACAGAATGATTGTAAATGTTATGGCTGTGGTAAAACAGGTCATATTTCTCGTGACGGCCCCACAGTTAACATTGCTGCAAATATTGTGCAGTGGACATAAAGAACCATGTGATACTTTCAATGTTACTATCAGTATAGCTGCATGCAGCTCAACAAAAAACTGACTACAGCAATTGAAAGACCAAAATATAAGAAAATTAGTGATTCTCTGAAAAGTCCTAGAAGATGAGAATGATAAGGATGAGAATTTTGTATATTACAGTGGTCAAGGTTTTCTCATGAACTAGTGTGTTTTATATAGATATTCACTTGAGAGAGATACAGAACAAGCCCAGTTCAGTAGTCCTTTTTAATGAAACAGTATTATAACAGCATCATGAAGCTCCATCAGGAAATCAAAGGAACATATGACAGAATTGGATGATGGAAGAAGTTATCTGGACTATTGTAAATAACGATCTTTAATCAACGATTTAAGTTTTCATCATTTGGTCCTTTACCAAAGAAAAACGAGAAGGCATGGGTCTTCATCATACATGACTGTATCATTAAGTGCATGGAACAATTTGAATTAACCTATACTACTGATGATCCTTTTTCTCCTATAGGAAATTATCATGTAGCTGCCCTGTGAACATATGAAGGACAAGACTACTCCTGTACTTCTGATTTGAGAAAGAGGGCGACCAGGAAAAGCCTCTGATTCTGATGTATATGCTCTCCCTACCAGAAAACAGCCAACAAAAGCATGCTATAAATTGAGAATGACTTATACAGCTTGAGGAGAAGAGTGTAACAGATGGTGCGAGTTATTCTTCAAACAGAGCATAAGTTCAGCACTTTGCTGATATCACTTCTGCATTGTTTTCTAAATGTTTAATGTTAATGTTCTTAAATAAAAGTCATAGCATTAATTATAAGCTGCAGCTTTTATCTGAAACATTTTTGACAGGATACACAAAATCTATATATTTCTTATTGAGTTTAATAATCAGTTTTCTGCATTTCATTTTTCAAAGTTTTTAAATATGGTAACAGATGCCATGAGCCATTCTTCAGAGCACCTGCTCTAGATTACATGGTGCGTGATTCCTCCAAATATAAATTTTCATTTCATTTTTACAAGTCACTTGGACACTTCACATGAGAAATGTAACATCTAATCTGTTATTTTTATATTTGTGTGTGTAGTTTCATTAATAAAAGGAGTTTACCTTATCTCATTGTCTTAACTACTGCCCCATCCCCAAGATGTTTTGCTTTAAGAACAAGAAGATCTACTATAAAGTCATCTACAAATTACACTTCAATGAGTGCTATAAAGAATACAATCTTTCTGAAGCTGCATAATAGAAAATGTATAAATGTTACCAAATATTTAATTACTGCCAGTATTTTGTGCTTCTGATTACTAATTTTGTATATCTAAATGTGAATTCATTTAAATACAAGTGATTCAAATCCTTGAATCTTAAAAAAGGCTAAAGATTAAAAACACTCAAACCTTTGCACCTTTTACAGCATTTGAATCTTAAATCATCAAACTCCGATAACATTACATTTCGCTGATTATGATAGAGCAACTTAATGCTAATGAATGAATTTTAAATTGTAACCAATACAATTTCAGCTGTTCTGCTAACTGGTAGTTTCTAAAAATTAATTATGATTCCCTATTAACTACCTCTTCAGCTAGCTGTAAAGGCCAGATTCAAAAGTAATGAATTCCCCACATGCTCATCACTAATTATTCCGAAAAACTCCAATTTTAAATTTAAAAATTATCAAACCTTGTTTATCTAAACTAACAAAAACCAAGATAAATACAGTACAAAGTCTGTAATCAAGACTCCTTGGGACTTCGGCGATTCCGGATTATAGATCACCAATTTAAATCTTATAAGATGGCATGCAGAAATTATACAATTAAAAATATGAAATCATAATTCATGAAATAAAGAGCAATTATGATATAAAGGGTATCAAAAAGTACAAAAAAAGGGCTTAATATTTATTTGTTTACTTTATTAAACACTCCTTTCAATGTAAGTTTTTTAAGTTGCTTCATATTTTGTGCTAATACTTTCTCTTTAACTCTATAAACAGACATAATCTTGTTTAGTTACAAAGTTCCACCTATCGGAAACGGTATTTTCTGGATATAGAACCATACTACAGATTTTCGCTGTCCGTTAATTGATTGATGATTGGGGCATTGTCATCACAATGAAAAACTTTCATTATATAATCTTCATTTATTACCACTTCTCCACATTTCTTTACAAAATAACTGGAAAATTTCACCTTTAGTTTGCGATGTCCGAAAACCTTCAAATTCGCGGCTATCATCTTTATCGTCCTCACAATGAAATATGGCAGCTGGCCATAAATTATGCCAAGCATTTTTTAACGCATCTGGAGACACATCCTCCCAATGTGCCTGCTTAAATGCATTATGCGCATGCATAAAGCATACAAAAAAAAAATGTTTGTGGCTTTGAGGTCCGGATTATAGATCATTCCGGATAATGGACGTCCGGATTACAGACTTTGTACTGTATAACTTAATGATTTTCATACTTAAAAAAATAACTATTGGAAGCATACCATTTAATTATGAACATTATTTAAGTAAAAAAAAAATATTTTCAAGCAATCATTTTTCCAGATAATTCTGGTCTTCTATATAGGTCATGTTCAATAATTATGTTTATCTATGTTGCCAGAAATATTGGTCATTTTCAGAAAAGTTATCTTAGATAATCTCAAGAAAGGTTCATTTGCTGTTTCAGATTCTTTAAATAATGAATATTAAATATAATTTTGTGTTTCAGCTGTCATTAGATTTAATAACAAAATGTTATATACCACAAAATATTACCATTTTCAAATGAATTTAAATGAACTAGACTTAAAAGGTGAATGGAACTGTGAAAGATAGTATACCTACATTTTTGGCCTTGATCAAAATGTACATGACAATTCTTAGAATACTTTGTATTGCATATTCTTAATCATAATATTTTACACGTAGATCAGAGTGAACTAAATTTTACAAAAACTTCCCATAATGCTTCTCTCTCTCTCTCAAATGACCACTGATAAATATGTACTTGGATAGAGGAAAATAGAAAAATGTGAGATCTTAAATAAATTAAATGCAATTATAAAATGCAAAAAGGCAATAAAATGGCAACTGGAAATGTAAATCAATTTTGCATAGTTTTTCAACTAAGCATTCCATTAACAATTTTAGATTGATTTTTCTTTATTTACAGATGGGATATTTTACATACACATTCTATAAATCATATGCTAGTTGAAACAGCTCTTCACACTGTATGCAAGTAGAAACAATAAATAATACAATCAGTAAAGATAACAACTTCTATCGAGATCAAGAAAACTTCATTCTTTAAAATCAGCTTGCAGTAGATTACTATTAAAGTTACATTACTTTACCTTCAGCCTAAAATAAAAATAAAAATAAATGATCATTTTTTAACAATACGAAATATAAATAGTGCTCTGTGGTGACAAAGGAAATTTTGCATATACAATATCATGATTTTTTTTTTTTTTTTTTGCATTAAATGTTATAAATATGAAATTAAAGATTGTGACATCCATTATTTAAATACAATTAAAATTTTATTTAATGTATTCATACACTGTTACAAACTATGCGAAAAATATGTGACCTTCTAAACTTATATTTGCATTGCACATCTGGTGGAAACAGCAAATTCACAATTAATTGTTATGATATAAGAATAGTCATTTCATAAAAAATGCAGGAGAGAAACCCCGAACTAATATTTGCATTAGTTATTCAATGAGAACAACAGTAATACAATTAGTCCTTTTCAGTTACAGCACTGCTATTTTTTTTTAATTTTAAGAAAATTTATACATACTGTCAACTTTTTAATATTGACTTTAAAGCTTGAAAATTCTACATTATGCAGTGTTAAATATGCAATTTATTTTTACCTATTAAACCATACATAGAAATCGCAGATCTGTTGGAATCTGAAAATGTTCACTTGCACAGCATGTCATTATTTAGTATATGAGAAATAGTAGGGCCTAAATTTGAATTATAACTTCAGTGTGGCACCACATCCCTCCTTTTTATATATGACAGATGCTCTGTGTTATCTATGATGCCTGTTCAAAATTTGTGGTTGAAGCACAAAATCTACCAAAACCTTAATAACATGATTCTTTGTTCTACAGATTGTGTAGTCCCATTTACTTTATACAGCCTTTATACAGCTGATAAGATACAGTCCTTTTGCACAATAGAATATTAATTAGCCATGATTATTTGGAATATTCAAGGTCACTTCCTGCATCACACAACTCATCATATAAATATCATTAATCTTATTTCAGTCCTAATTCAATAGCCCATGTCATAATTGAATGCTCTGTAAAGGAAAGCCAATTTGGATCCATTGGTACAAAGTAAGATGGTTCCAAAGCTATAAAATCAGGTACACAGATTAATTGTAAGGTGACAAGGAGATGCATGCATGTAAGAAAAGTTTTATTCTGATTTCAATTTTGACTTATGTAGTTAACCACTTAACTGTTCCATTTTCCTGCCATATTGTGACCGAAAATAAATATATTTTTTATTAACAATTTTGTATTCTAAATTCAAATCAGCAATTAAAACAGTTACAAGTACTGCATTTATTAATTTAAGATAATTTTTAATTATGGCAAAATTAAGGCATTTTTACTTAAAGCTGGCTCTTTTTCTGACGAAACTGCGAAACTGGAAAGAACACTTTACACAAGATAAATGTGAAAGAAGTGAATTCACGGTGAAAGGAAATCACGGCGGTGGTGGAGGAGGATTAGTAGTGTCCGGTTCACAAAAGTTCCAAACCTAAATTAGATCATCTGAACTTTCCGTTTCCTTATCATCACCAGAGAATTTCAATAAAGGACTTTTAGGACCGCAAGAATCATTTATAGAAAATTCAGATTCGCTATCTCATCCAGTATCAGAATTATATTCCGTTATGAGCCATTTACAGTCCTCCATCATTCTTTTATTTCATGACAAAATTGGGAAGAAATACTTATTCACAAAGCCTAATACACTGAACATGTGCAAACAAACTCATTGAATTTCTCTGCCTAATGAAAAAGCGGTAAAACCTGTCCTTGAACTGGTTTTAAAATCCAATCTCTCCTGGACTACTAGAAACATCTATTAGAAACACTGTAAAAAATGTGAAAAAAGCCAGGACAATCAGTGGATTGGTGTAATAAAATACACCAAGTGGTGTACAGGCAAATAAAAAAAGTCCCTTTATATGGCAATAATGAAGAATCTGTTTGTATGTTTCTCACATAGTGGCAACACAGCAGTACTCAGTGCCACCAAATTTGTACCTTGCATAGTTCAACCATACATGTACACCTCAAAGAGATAATTTTGAATTACAAATTTGTTTTTGATTTATTTCACGTTTTGCACACATTTAATAGTTGTTTTATTAATAAACTCGGTGATTTGAAAGCGAGCAGTAAAACACTGTTTGAAATAAAACATTTTTATCTCCAACAAGCAAGACTTTTGCCATTTGGCAAAATGTTAAGATAATTGTCTTTCAATTTTAATCAGCAAACTGCTATTTACACAATGTGTTGCCACTTCCTGAAATAAAAGACTTTTATCTTCCATATATCAGTGTGTTGCCATTCAGTAAAGTGTAAGATACTTAAAATTTAATTTGTCTGCCGTAATATAGCAAACTATGGGATGTAAAAGTAATAAACACAGTTCTTAAGAATATATTTCTACTTTTTAATCCGATTCATTTAAATAAAAATGGATTTAAATCACGAGATGTCTTATTAGAAATATCAAATATTTATATGAAATTAGTCTAGCTGTACTCATTGAAATCTTTATATACATTTTCTTTTTCAAGATGACTATTATAGGCATAACTAGTTTTTCTAAATGCTGAGATAATTTTTTTAATCTGGCAAAATATCCAGTGGTGTTCAAATAAATCCTCAAAAATGTGCTTTCGGTACCAGATTTGAGTGGTGAATTAATTTCAGTGCAAAATACTGAAGCCGCAGGTTTCAGTGTGAATTTGGTGAACTTGTTTATAGCTTGTTTTCATGATTTGAAAATTACATAGTATCAGAAATATTGATCTAGCCTACGAATTAACTGGAAAGGAAAACTGAATTATTTTTGTCCATCTCTCTGACAAAAGCAAAAATGGTTCAATCTGACTGTTTTAATAATTTGGTTAGCCTGACGTCTTCACTTTTCCTTCAGTTCTAAATTTGTTCTTATTGGTTCTCAACTTCTTTTTTTTCATTTTAATAATACTTTGGAAGGTTATAATTTTAGTATTTACTATTATTTAATTACAATATCAATATACATATATTTATTTATTTAAACATTCTTAACTCATAAGAAAAATTTATTTTTTTCTGACTCTTGAAAAAAAGTAATTATATATATTTTCCATGACCTTTCCCCCCCCTTTTCTTCCTCCCCCCCCCCCCCTCCCCCCCCCCGATTTTTCAAGGGAGTAAAAATCTAATTTGAAACCACATCCTCATATAAAATAGTTCTTTCACATTTAAAATTAAGGAAGAAAAATCATTGATTTTTTCTTGCTTATTTCTATATTGAAGATTCATTAAGATTATTCTTGCCATTATACATATTCTGCTTCGAACAATTAGTAGCAGATATAAAGACAAAAGCTTTTATAAATAAATATTGCAAAATTTAATTATCTTTTTAAGTAATATGTCTACTCAAAATGTATGCTTGGTTTCTGACATCTGTGCAAAATTTTTCTTTCACTTAACAAAATTTTTTGGTAATTTTTCTCGTTATCATTAGTAGCACTTCAATTATTAATGATACTTTTTTCAACATGTCTTCTTCAAATGCATATACAGCTTTAATACACACAAAGGTACACTACCAAAAAAAAAGGGTGGTCAGGTCTATATCTCCTTTCTACTGTGCCAATTGACGAAATTCAAACTGCGTTTTTCATGTCTCGAAAGTGCGACTTAGGATATAAGATTTATATAAAGCACTGTACTAACATAGATATTTTGAAATAAATTCGTAGTTTTTCTGAAATAACATGCCACTTTTTTCCCATATTTCGATTCTACTACTCAAATAAAGCCTGAATATAAAATTTTGTAAAATTCGGTGCAAAATTTACGGAGAAATTCAAAAATTTATCTTGACACTTCACCCCCCTTTTTTTAAAAAAATAAGTTTGCGCCAAGAACCATTAGTTCACTTGACACAACCATTACTGGCTTTGACATAACCATCATTCTTAATTTATAGCAAGCTAATTTTCTTCCCCTTTTTTCATTGTACATGAATGGAAAAAAGTCATTGTTCGTTCATTCATATAATTTTAATAAAATCCATTAACCACATTTCGTGTTACTATTGCTACCCTCCAAAAAAAGCACCAATATGAAAATTCACGTATATCTTAGAAAACTCTAATATTTTGCAGGTGTGCCTAGAAATTCATCTACTTTAAGATGATGTTAAAATTTTTATAGGGTATAATAATTTTTTTTTTTGAAAAATTTATAAAAATTATTAAAAAATGGGCGAATTTTATTTGAAATGAACCTAAATTTTGAAATGTGATAGGAAGAATCAAGCAAGTTTAATAAAAAAAGAAAGATTAATAAATATCTACCAAATTCAATTAACATTGAGGAGCTAAAATGTTGAAAGCCAATTTTTTTATAAACTACTCGTGAGAGTTTTACAAAACTTGGCAGTCTGGCATAATTTGAATCGTAAAAATTGGCATGTCATTTCAGAAAAAGTTCAACTTTGTGTCAAAATACTTATATTTGAACAATTCTATATATAAATCTACTACATATCCTATGTCACGCTTTCAAGATATGAAAAATGAAAGTTGAAGCTCATCAGTCGGCCCCTTTTTTTTGCGCAGTGTACCTATTGTAACATGTAAAACATTTTCTGAATTAGATACAAAAAATTTGCTTTTGTGTGATTTAAAGATGTGATTTTGTGTGATTTAAAGGAATACAGGGTATGATAGGTACTCTTAACCTAATACTCTATATTAACAATTTTCCAGTATGGATGTTATTTTCTTCCTTTTAATGGCCAGTGCTTTTTTTAATACCCATTAGCCTTGCACCTCTAAAAAGGCCAAAAGTAGTGGTCATTTCATTATGGAAGCACCTAATAGGTGGCCACCACTGCCTGCTATGACGGGACAGGCAGTTACAACAATGCCTTCTTCGAGATTCGAATGTGGGCCCATTGCTACGGAAGTCGGGGTCACTAATCACTTTATTGTCTGGGTGGCTTGTTCGAAAATGTAAACATATATTTCTACAAGCTTCTTTTTTGAGATGATATAATTATCATAATAGCATTAGCTCAGTATGTTATTAATTTCATGTTTTAATTTCTCTACACCCATCAAGTACAGTCGGGGCTTGAATGTGTTAAATTTAATGATCCTGACAGGCATCAAAGTGAATATTTTTTTTACAACTACAATAATACCCCCTCACACACACACACACACACCACACACACACAAAAAAAAAAAAAAAAAAAAAAAAAAACATCATTATAATAATAAACAAATAAATTATACATGGCAGGAAGGCCTACCTGTGACATTCCCCATGTCAAATAGTCTTTATTTGTTGCTGCAATATACTCATCAACTAACTGTTGAACTGTTTCTCTTGAATTATCCAATTCATCGAGATTATCTTGGAACATCGATTCCTTCCTGAACTGTTCAAGGAAAGCCTCTCTCTTGCGCAGTTTATCATATTGCCTCAGAGTCCTCTCAAAAAGCTAGACATAAAAGGAATATTTAAAAAAATTTTCCACATAAAAAATAAGCACACGTATCAAAAGTATTGTCAAAAGGAAAGAAAATTTTGAATGGGAACCCATGTGATGGATAAATTTAATACAGTCAACCACCAAATGTCACAATTAAATAAAAATTCAGAAAATCTAGGAAAATGCACTATCTTTTAATCGAATACTAAATACAGATTTGCTTTAATGTTAAGACCCAATTATCATACTTTGTTTAAGCAAAAGGATATATATTTTAAAAACATATATTTATTTTCATCGTGAAATTAAAGAATGAAATTAATTTTGATTTATATAGCATTATTTTTTTTAATTGAGTAGAACTGAATTTAGATATTAAATTATTTAGTTGACAATTATGGCAAAGTACTATATAAGGATTATTTGCTTAAGGGAAGGGATGCTTTCATGGAACACTTTCTAAGAGAACCTGGCTCATATTCACATTAGACATGGAAGAAACCAAGAAAATGCCCATTCATGGTTCAAACCTGCATCAAATTACTAGTATTCTTTCTATCACACAGTAATTAGCAGCCAAAAAGTATTATTTTACATCTACATAAAACATAGTGAATAATCAATTTCTATTCAATCAAAATTAATCTTTTTGCTGCTGAAGCTGTAATAAAACATTCTGTAAAACGTCTACCATACTGAATCAATAATTTTATTTAATGTTAATACATAAAATAAAATTGCTGATTCTGCACAGCACATAATCAAACAACTTGTTTTTTCTTGGAAGTATTAATTTAAAACACTTAAACTCACAGGCATGTTGAGCCATTTCTTTAAAAAATGAATGGAATTAATCTTACTCGAGTTTGTTATAGGAACATACATTCAGCAGCAAAAAAGGTTAAGCATGGAGATTATTTTTACATAACATTAAATGATAAAATTAAAATATAACACTTGACATTATATTTTTGCATTTATAATTTCCAATAAATTTATGATTTTGACAAAAAAATCACAAAAATAATTTTTTATTGTACAAATTTTTTTTTAAAGTAAAAAATTATATAGCAGTCAAGAACTTATTTAGAATATTACTTGGCCTTGAGGGACGGGAAAAGCAAATTAATTGGAATTCCAAAAATAGTGCTTCCATACTTGCAGCAAATACTTTCTAATACATATGCTTTTAATACGGTGGATTGCAATGAATGTTACATTTAATGCGATATTTGTATAGTATACATAAGCTTCACTGATAAATTGCATAAAAAAACAAACAAGCTACATAAAATAAAAAATATTGTATGTTATACTAAGTAATAAAATGCATTTTTCTACCTGTTTTTTAAAAGTGAAAGAAATTTTAGGCTAGTTATCAAATGATAAATAAAGCACTGAATAAATACTATTGTTATACTGTACATATCACATACGCTTTCAATCGACTATAAACCAGTAAAAAGAATTCTTTCTAATCAAAGCACTGTAAAAGCTGTGAAATATTCATACAAATTGTGCCTATGTCCTCCTGATAGTCAAGAATGCCATAGGAAGAACAATAAATAGTGCTTTAAAACTGCTGCATTTAATTATATTACAGCCAGTTGTTGTTTGGTGAAAATTTTTCCTTAATGTATGAGTAATTTATTTCTTCCATTAAAAATATTTATGTGTCTTTATAAACCAGGAATAACTGAAACTATAAATAGTTTATCAACTGATATGAAGGCAGAACTGTACAAGCAAATCAGGAAGAAGAAATCACTTACAGAAGAAATACTTGTATGATTTGCTAACATGAGACCACTGACACGATGAGCAGTTTGTATGTAGGGTGACTTGCGTGAAAGGGCAACCTGTATGCTTGCAGGTCCCCAAGGAATGAACTGGGCTAGTTTTCGCTCCCGAATCCTCATGAGACTTTTGTGGATCTGAAATTAAATATTGTAAGCTCTTAATTATATACCTGTCACTGGTTTACATTTATAGGATCAATAGTGTGTTAGTAGTGGCATGACACAGAATTGATACCAACACTAGTTACAAACATACGACTGTTATAATAAAAAGAAATTTTGCAGACTAATTTCTAAAATTAAAAATTTAACAACACAATAGAAGGTCATCAAGAAATGTAAATAAATAAAATAATAAATTATTAAAATTAAATAAAAGGTAAAGTTAAAAATTAATAAATTATGTTAAATAATAATGCTAGAGCCCATCTTATTTGAGGCCTTGCCTGAATTATGATTTCACTCAACAACTGATATGTGTTCGAGCCTGGTCTAGCACACGATTGACGTTAGTATGCAATCAGCATTGCCATAAAAAAAAGGTTGGTTTGGTTATTTGATTATGGCAAAGCACCTGAGAGCTATCTGCCTATGGCAGGTATTTTTCCATGGAGAACTTTCTAAAGGAAACTGGCTTGTATCCATGTGAGAACTTTCTAAAGGAAACTGGCTTGTATCCATGTTTCACACAGGAAAAACCATAAAAACCTGGAGCCATGAAAAACCTCTCTGTTTGCTAGGATTTAAATCTGACCAAACTGCCAATGTTTAGTGACTTTACTGCTCAGCCGCTGGTGGGCCATAAAAAAGATAAAGATTTGATTAAACAGTTGCTTTTTTGGGATATAGCCACATAAAAATTAATGTCAACAAAAGGCTGAGGGCCATAAAAAGAAGGTAAAGATTTGATAAAACAGTTGCTTGATATAGCCACATAAAATTAATGTCAACAAAAAGCTGAAACCAGTTTCTGAGCTTCTGTGTTGATCCTGTGCAAGTAAAGGCTGTTGATTCTATGCTATGATCCTGTGCCAGATTCCACTCTCTTTCATGCATTTCTCTTAGTTATGTGTCAATGTTCAGTGCCCAAAGATGCAGCAAAATAATACCTTTTGTTATCCTTTATGTTTCTAATTCACATCCTTGAGAAAAGATGCTTCATGAATATATGTTATGGAAATTTTCACGTTACTTTTTCCTAACATTCCAACTAATAAATTCAGCCTTTTATGGGAATTCATTATAAGTAGTTTCAGTCTTTAATAGAGCTATGAATTCCTTTTCTTTGAATTATAGAAAAGATTAATGACAACTTATCAAGTGGGGCTAAAATTAGAATAGCAAGTTTTGTCAAAATGCAAATTTTTTAAATTATTTTCACAAAATTCTGAGAATTTCCTTAGCTTTCTTAATAATAAAACTTTTCTACAAGCAATAAATATATCTGCAAATTCCAGAACTTTTTATAATTCTTTATTTTTTATTAAAATTATTATTTATTTTTTATATTTAAATAACTTGCTTTTCACCATCATTAGAATAATTTCATAAAGGAAATTACTATAAAGTAATCCAATACCAAAATGCAAAGCAGATGCTCTGGATTATTTGATTATGGTAAAACATAAAGAAGAGTTGTTTTCAGGGACCACTTTCAAAGGAAAACTGATTCATATTTACATTACACGCTGAAACATCCACAAAATCATGAAGCCAAACCATTTTCCAGAATTTGAACATGTATCAAACTACCAGAGTTCAAGAACTTTATCCACTTCACCACTGGTGTCTTGATTTCCCCTCAAGATTCCAAGCCAGGTTCCAGGTCCAGTAAAGATTTACTAGACTTTTGGAATATGAAAAAAAATCCCCCCCCCCCCAGCAACACAGAGTTGCCACATGTTTTTGTCAATATATGTAAACAATATTATAACAAAATGTCCTTTTCTTTTAGTTTAAAAAGATTTTATAGGGTAACAGATTCTATATTGGAAGAACATCTGTGTATGTACAATATAATCTATTAAATGCAATCCACTTGAATAATAATCTTTTTCTCACATGATGACAATGCTAAGATACCAGAATTGGACTGATCTTTAAATATAAATATCAGTACTAAATATACAAGAAGTTCAAAAAAATTACTGGAAATGTCAAGTTATTTTTCCTTCCTAATTTATGAAGGCTAGTTTACTCATAAATTATATTCTTTTGCTTATTTGTATTGTGTATACAATTTGTATTTGCATTTTTTATAATAGCACTTCATCCATTTTATTTTTCCTTGTAAACATATTTTGGGCAGTTTCTTCCTTTAACCAAATGTGGCGGGTGTTCTCATACTTAAGAAATCTTTCAAACATGTAATTTAAATGCGATAGTAATAAGCTAAAGTAGCTGCCAATAAATTACCCGAAAGTCTGAATTTTTACGAAAGAATGAACAAGACCCATCCTCAAATTTTGCTCTCATATCCAAAATGTATCTCAGCAGCCACATGATGATGAGGTACTGCACTGTCATCCAGAGAGATAAATTCATATGAGCTTGGATGTGTTACTACAGTAGCATGAAGCTACCTATTGCAGTACCCTGAACTAGTTACAGCATTGGCTCCCAGGATTTGTAGCCATCTAGCAACACCTTCCAAGAAAAACAATTCACCACTCCTGCCAACTGACTACCTAACTTACAAGGTCACAGCAAAAACGGAAATTTCTCACATCAGCCTCATCTACAGCTGATGTGTTCGATCTTTTAAAATATGGGTCTTCTGTTTGCCCCCTTCACCTTTGTTCCAACAATGTCTCTCTTGGGCAAAATTCATTTATGTTAGAACTTCTGTTAGCCCCTAGGGCTTTACAAGATAATTGAGCTGGATTGCCACACTCCACTCAATGTGTCTGGCTCAGCTACCATCAAATATTGGCTCAATATCTATCAGATATTGTTATGTTAATATTACTATATATTCCTATTGGAATGTAGGGTTTTTTAAATCACTAATATTGTGATAGTTACCAGCAGTTTATCTATGACTTCTTCACCTTTACGTTCTTACTAACTGCATTTTTCAGAAATTAAATTACTTGCATAATTTTCCCTTCTTACTGTAACTGTACTTTTCAGAAATTAAACTACTTGCATAATTTTCCCTTCTTGATTTTTGAATGATAAAATTAGTTTAAAAAGAGGGAAAATACACCAGGAAATACAGTATTACTTCCTTTTGATGAGAATTTTGCTGAACCCACTCACTTCTTACAGCAAACTTTTCTTTATTAAGTATTACTAAAATGAAGTTGAAAAATTTTGTATTACTGAACTGTTTTGTCTAAAAATTGATATACGACATTATGTGTGGCAGGATGAGAATGAGATGATCACAATTACCAGCTATGGTGTCCATACAGATATATGTGTGCTATGTCTTATGGAATTAATATCTACCACTTAAGTTAAAAATATGTAGAATATTAATGTCTACATTAAGTTACTAAAAAATATGGTTTTAATTTTCCATCAATGAATTCAGTTAAGAGAAGAGAAGTGTGCATTCCAAAATTGGCAGCTCACAAAAAATTAAAGCTTCACGCATGTAAAATTTACATAGTGCAATAGATGCTTCTAAATGATTACAATGTGTTATTCAACTTTGATATGGATATGTTGACTTGAACACAACTGAAAGCTTCTGAATACTGGTATTTATAGTGATTTATTGCAAAGTATTGTATTGGATTTGTAGTAACCTATACTTTATGTACCAGATATTGTGAACTGTAAATGTCAGATATAGGGTTATGAGTCCCTGCATCCTTCAAATGAACTTGAATCTGATTCTCTGAAAGTTAGTGAGCAGTATATCCTTTTAAAAAAGGGTGTTTCCTCCCCCCAAAAAAAACAACATAAATGGCGAAATAGACAGGGTGATTATAATAAGTTGCAATTTCAAAACATACTAACTTTAAAACTATTGACTTGCTATTTTACTAGAACAATCGTGCGGCAATGAAATTTTGTTTGGAGAAGGAAAAAAAAATAGTTTCAAAATATGCTGATAGATGGCACTGTCAGGGTTTACATTGCTATTGGTATGCAAATTACTAAGACATAACATGCACACTGTAGACATGGCTTAGATAAAAATGTAGTGCACCAATGACATGCATAACATTTTGCCTGACTGACGAAAAAGGATAATGCTCTTCTCATGAAGCTTTCATATCAGAATGGTGACTGAGCGTTAATAGCTATAAGGAAGTTCCGGACATTAAAAGACATAAAATTCGGCTCAATGACCACATATGGCCTGCGGAAAATGATAGATAAATACAAAGAAACTAGTTCATTTGACATGAAACGAGGTAGAGAATGAAAACCAGTTTTGGCAGCGGCAATGGAAACTGTGGCCACAGCGTTACAAGAACTGACAAACACTGTGATGCAGGAATTAGCTGAATGTTGGATATGCCTATCAGCACGATGTGTAAAGTCCTGCATAACATCTTGTGCTGTTATCCGTATCAGATAACTCACATGCAGCAGCTGCTACCTACTGAGCTGGAAACACATGAATCATTTGCGCAACAAACTCCTAGCCTGGACAGTAGTGGTTAATGAATGGCTTTGGAACATTCTGTGGTCTGACGAAGCTCATTATATTCCAAGTTCGAATGGTTTTTATAGACTAACTGGGAGGGTTTTTTTTTTTTTTTTTTTTTTCTTTTTCTTTTGGCCTTAAATTCAATTTTAAAATATTCACTTGTGGGCTTTATCAGCAATTGAAGAAAGAGCAATAAAATAACTGCAGGAATACAGTATGTTGCTGCAAAATCACTAAAAGGACCAAGGAAGAGATGAATTTGATAGGTAGCCTGTTAGCAATGCTGAAGTTGTCTGCAATGATAGGTTTGCGCAATTTTCAGATTTCCTTAAGTGGAAATAGAGCCTTGTGAACATGGGAAAATGTACAGAGCAAAACAATTACAGAACAATTTCAAGAAAAACACAAGTATTTACTTATTTATTATATGTTTGTATCATATTATATAATCCTTATTTAATAATTAAAATCTGTATGTTTTCTTTTGATTACATTGATAATGTTTGCCGACTTACGGCAAATACCGAGTTTTGAAAATTTCATAAAAAAGTTAAGAAAATCACCAACTTGCACCAGATATGTAACTTTTACCTTTTCATTTATAAAAATCACTGAATTGCATTAATACATAAGTAACTTACATAATTATCTCACATACTTATGATTACTTTAAATTTATCAAAATACCTGTGTTGGGTCTACTTCTCCTTGAATTATATTTAAAATACTTATATAGCAGTGATTGGAGTTTCTATCATATGCCGTTGATACCATCATATTTTTTGGTTGCAATAGACGCCTCATCACATCCAAAACTGTAGTTTTGCGGACACTTGCAACCTTTATTGAACAGAAAATTTCCATCACTAAAATGATTTTAATATTACTTGTTATAAATTATATGATCACTTCTAAGAAATACTTTACAGATTATATATACTGTGTAGATATTTACTTCTTGATCTGTTGTAAGTGGTGTGTATCCTGTCATCAGGAAATGCAGACGTGGCATCGGGATTAATGGCGCAAGCAAGCCAATCAAGTCATTATTCATGTAACTAGGATACCTCAGTGTTGCAGTACTGACAGACATAATAGTAGAGACCTACAACACATATGTTTATAAAATTTAGTAAACTGTACACACAATATGCATGTAATAATTTTCACATAAATTTCAAAATTGTAATACAGTAAATAGATCTATGTTATAATATAGTAATACAGTAAAGAGATAGATTAGGGTACTGTATTAGAGGTGTACAGAAATCATGAGTTCATAATTGAACATGAAACTGCTCTTAAAAACTGCATTCTAGAAAAAATGCATAAAAATGTTTTCCCTTCATTTGAAAGTTCATACAAATTCTATATCCCTATTCATAAAAATGGGTTAGAGTAGACTGAAGGGTACCCCTAGTATTATCATGAAGTTGTTTCATTTATAGGCAAGTTTTTTATTCATTTATCACCAAGTTGTTGTTTCATTTATGGTAACCTGAGTAGTTGAATGTTATCCTGTATCGTGTCCTGTATGTGAGAAGGAAATGCATCTGGTTGAACGTAAAGATCGTTCAGATGGCTTTGAATGAGTTTGTCGGTAGAAAGGTTCAGATGGTCACTATGTCAAGCGTTTGATAACAGAAGCTCATATTAACAATATTGAAGGTATGTGGAGTGTGGTAAAAAGAGATTTTCGCAAGAAGTGTCATCGACAGTATGAAAGTATGGAGGATATTTTTGGCTCTTGTGAATTCATGTGCTGACGCCGATATACGGATTTTAGGAAGTTTTTGAATGCTGTTAAAGAATTTTATGCGCTACAGACTGAAGACAAAGAAATTTCTAAATGAAATAAGTGGATATTTTCTTTGTGTACAGCTTATGCATAAAAGGTTTTTTTTCCCCCTTTTTGATGCTATTTATTGTTTGGTTTAAAATGTAGATTATTGAGATTACGTATTTTTTGTTTGCCTCTATTGTAGGATTGGGTGCACCTTTGACTTTTTAAGTGAAAATATATCTATGTGTACATGGACAAAGTCAAAAGGCAGTGCACAATGCCTAGTTTGTGCAATTCTTTGACTTGTTATTTTGTCTTTGTGTACCGGCCACTTTTGGTGCTAAAATCACCGCTACACAAAGCCAAAATAGCAGTTCAAAGACTTGCACAAACTCGGTATCCATGTACCAACAAAAATCGCTCATTTTCACCAAGGGGTACCCGTAAATATACTTTCACCTAAAAATGTTTCGTCATGATTTTAAAGCCAGAACCTAAAGATGAATCAAATAAATCATCAGAGCATTTTAAAAAGGAGAATGAGGGAGACTTTCCTAGTATAGTTTAACCCCACAGCCAAGGCCACGAGTATGAACATCTATGTGCCATCCAGATCAAACTACTCACAAAATAGGGTGGATGATCATGAATTTTGTAGTACAGATTTTTTCCATGCTTATTTTTTACTCATTTATTTTCACTGTATTTGAAGACCACAGATTCAAGGAGGCAGAAAATTACTTTTGAGTATTCTAAAATAATATGTTGATCATTATTTGCAATTAACTGCTTGATTACATTGCATATTTATTTATCTACAGGTGAAAATATGAGTGTTTTCAAAACTTAATTTTGCTGTAAATACATAATTTTATGATAAAGTGTAATAAATAATTCTTATTGTATAACAACTGTTATTATAATTATTTCATTATTATGCTGTGTAATTTTCATTATTAAACTATCATTACAATGAATTCCAACATAATAATTTACAAAAATAACACACAGTTTTTATACATCTTTTTTATCTTTGAGCTAGTATGTACATTAACACGCACAGAAAAAAGAAATCTTTTAATAAGTTATAATAATTGTAATAAATGATTATGCAGTTATTTAATTAATTATACTAAATAATTATTATACTTCTTTTTGATTTTTGTGGTAAAATCTATATGCATTGTTATTACGTATTCTGAAATATATATATATATATATATATATATATATAATAATTACAAAATATATGTATAATACATATATTTTGTAATTATATATATATATGTAATTATAATATATATAATTACAATTATATATATATAAATTACAAAATAATTCTTTTGAAAAGAAATTACGCATTAAGCTGTAGAAAAATTTTCTGGTCTTTGTGAAATATTAGTTCTACATTTCTTCCTTTGCAGCCACCAAAGGGCATAACCTGACAGGGAAACCTTACTGCCTGCATACCTGCAGACAAAACGAGGCAGAGATGAAATGTCAGACCATGCAAAGGTGGTGACAATGGAGTGCTGGGAGAAAATTATGCCGCTTGCACATGATGTCATGTGGGTGACAGTCGTTAGTTCTTGGCATTTGTTTATACTTGTTGTATCAACAGTTTGATTTGACTTTTGTTGTTAATTTGCTATTATACCTAGTCAGAAATGGTAAATTGTGCTGTAGCATTGTGTCAGAATTATAGAAGGACAACTAAAAGTCAGGGCATCACATACCATCGTTTTCCAAGTGATCCAGAACTTTATACGGTATAGATTGTTTGCTACAAAACAGCAGATAATTTCAACATAAAAAATGCAAGAATATATTCTCTTCATTTTACACCTGATTACTACGTACGGGATCTAAAGGTAGAATTGTTTGGTTCAACTGCTAAAAGGATACTGAAAGCAAATGCTGTTCCCACTTTACATCTTTCATAATCACCATGTGAAAGTAACTCACCGATAAATTGCATATGTTGTGCTTCAAAAACTGAAGTTAACCTGGAGAGAAAGATTTCTAACACAAATGATTCATCCAAATTTATGCTAAAAAAGGGATAGAGCAAGCAGGAGTCAGGCTCAGGAAACAAGGAAATGAGAGCTGGAAAATTTAGCTTCCCCTTCCCCCAAAAAGCAAAAGCTACAAGCTGATAAGATAGACTGCAACTCAGCTTACATCCAGTGACACGTTTGATTTAGTTGAATGAGTGGAAATGTTAGAAAAGGATAATAAGAGATTAAATATGTTGTGCTGTCAATTAAAAATGTAAAAGGAAATTATTTTTACTGAAATTGCTGTTTCTCATAAAAAATTGTATAGCTTTCAGAAAATGAGCAGGAAAGTAATAAGCAAGCAAGTACATAGTGAAGTTAAAAAAAAAAAATAAAAAAAAAAAAATTAGGGATAAATTTTACAGACAACCAAATTTGTTTTCTCATGTCAAATAAAAAATTTGTTAAGTGGAATACAAATGACATTTGCAAATCTGCAACATTTAGATCAGTATCCCGAAGATGCTACAACTATCTCAGACAAAAAATGGGATTTCCATTTCCTAGTATTTCAACTTTGAAGAGATGGGTATCCTGTTCATTATGTGTTCTCCTGGTTTGCTACATGATATGATTCAGGTAATATGTGCTGGGGCATTAAAGAAGACTTTACTTTTTGAGAAATAACTGTAGAAACTTATCAGTTGATTTTCTTGATAATTTTTTCCACAAAACTGGAGGGATATCTATTGTTTTCAGCAATTTCTATTACACCTTTATATTCATTTTTGTAAAACTCAGTTGAGGGACAGAAATATTAGTCATATTTTAAGTAAAAACAAAAAGCAGCTATTTTATGTGGATGAAATCAAAATTTTTATGGAAGTTATTTTTCAGTGCCTTTCTTGTGCAACCTCACTTCCATGGCAGATCCTAATAAAACTTCTAACTTTTTTCTTTATTGTAAGAACAAGACCTTCTTTATATAAATAAACAAGCTATTGCCATATGCAAATCAGTAGTTATTTCGACTTACCAGGTATATTGCATCAAAATATTAAAAATAAGCAATATTATAGACTTTGTTCCTTTGAAGAAAAAAAAAAAATGGTGTTAATTCCTTTTTATGATACAGTGGATACTTAAGACTAAACTAAAACTCAGTGGTGTAACAGCCCTAATGGGCCAAGGCCTGCAGTGCCCGAAAATCTGCTTTCTTGACCATGGGCCCCGGGGTACGTAAGCATATGCCCTGAACAAGTGGTCAGCTTGTTGCAGGACCCCCAGTGTTTAGTCTCCAAGCGAACTTGGTACTCATTTCATCGATCCAAGAGATAGAAATCAAGGGATGAAAGGCTGAGTCAATCTTGCCCAGGCGGGGATCGAACCCCAAACCTGTGGTGCTGCTGTGCAATGCGCTAGCCACTGCGCCACCGGGCCTCAGATACTTAAGACTACTCTATTAATTATTTACTAAAAATTTCCACAAAATTAAAACTGATGAAAAATGCATTAGAAAATTGATGAGGAATTTTTCATGTAATTTGTAAGTAATTAATAACACCTGTCAATTAAGATCAATTAAACAAGTCATTGTAAGCATGCTAATTTTACAGAGACAAACAACATGATTAGACTACTTACTAGGGCATTAATTTGTGCAAAACTGGGATTGGATATATGAAGTCTGTCAACAGCTATTCTGTTCAATGCCGTATTATCCAAGACCACCACACAATCAGCATTCTGTGTTAATCTCTTCAAAGTTAAGAGAGAGTTGTACGGTTGAACAACTACATCGCTGATTTCATCTTGATTGGGGAAGACTGAATAAGTTTCAATGAGTTTTTTAGGATATCTGTTAGATAAACAAAACATTTATTATAACAAATAAACTAGCTGTTTTGCAATCAATAAAACATTTATTATGAAAAAAAAAAAAAATACAACACTGATTTTAAAAAATTTAACACTATTTAACAAATAAGTGAAAATATGAAGAAAGAAAATCACCTTATCTTACTCAGCTGAACTGGGGAAAAAAGATCAACAAGCAAATAAGTCATTGTTTAATAAATAATTAAAGTAATGAATTATTAAAAGTATTAAATAATTTACACCAAAATTATTTGAGCCTACAAATATCACTAGCAAAGTTTTAGTCTTCCCTTAAAACTGAGAGAAAAACTACTTTAGACATCTATACTGTGTTATCATCTATACATGCTTAATACTGATAAACGACACTAAAAAAGAAATTACTCATTTATTAATTACTAATAAGAACTTCAGTTTGTACCTGGGATTGCAACTGGTATAAAGATAACTTGGAAAGCAGTCTTATTTTATTTCTAGTGCATTCTAGCCAAGCTACAACATGTAAAATAGCTTTAAAGCAGTAGATTCCTTCTTGGCAAAATCCAGTTTCTTCTATCAACAATAAAATTTTACAGCACTAACAATAAATAAACCACTGTAAACTTGATAATCTGACTTTTTTCAAACTCATTTCCTATTTTCATTCTTTTCTTCTGTATCTAATGTGGTTTAGTGATGCACAATTTCATTGCATAAAAATTAGAGCATGTTCAATTGTTTGGAAATACCAAAAATATATTACGAAAATAAATGTGGATTGAAGCTAACTGAACAAAGATGAGTACATGGTTAAAAAGAGACTGCAAATATTGAGAGCATACTTGCAACAGAAAAGCAGACATTTACTGTCAAGTCATCACCAATTTGGCACCAACCATAATTGCTTTTGCAATCTGTACGATTTCCCTGGCTTTATTTTCAATCATTTGAAATCCTTTAAGTTTGCTGATAACTTCTGGCCAAAGCTGATGTCAGCAAGTACTCATTGTTTATGATTATGCTATTTATAGATACATTTTTGTTTCCATTCATGTTTAATCATTTCTATGCAGAATCTTGTTAAATTGCTTCCAAAATACCATTAGCGTGTCATGCTTTCCTTCATCTAGTGCTTTAATTGCAAAGATGTGAGCATGCCTAACATAATAGGCTTTGAATGCTTTTAAAGGAGGTGGTGTTCAGTGAAAAGAATGAAACCTCTACATTTGGATTTAATGTTGTGAGAGCATATCCTGGAGCATTATTTAGAAGAACTTTAAAGCTCAGGTTTTATTGTTATAAGCAATGTTCAACTTTTTTAATGAATGAATTTTCAAACCAATCATTAAAGAGGACAATCACAATGCAGCTGACACTGCAGCATACCACATATAATTGAAATTCTCACTATGGACAAATTAAGATAACACGTACACGCAAAATTCCATTTTGCACGAATTTCCTGCAAGCAAATATTTCACTTATGCAGAGTTTGATTAAGAAGATTTGTTTTAACTGTATTTCCTAACAATGCATTACTTTAGGCAGAATTCTAAAAATATGATGCCACTTATGTTAAAACCACATAATGGCAACAAAATTTGACTCGTTTTATCTATATATTTCTTTTGTTGCATTATTATAGCAGTCTCTTTGCCAGATTCTCCTTTATCTCTGAATTTAAATTTTTTTCATGCTTCGCTTTCATTCAGCATCAGTATTACATTGAATTCGAGATTATTCTTTATTATGTCTGCCCATAAAGAAAGTACACATCACGCTAGTTAAAAGTCATTCATTCCTTTTGCTATTGGATGAATACATGCTGAAAAATTTTTTAATAATGGCCAGTAATTCTTTTTTTCATTTTTTCAGTCATTTGATACAGCAGTCTTTGTGCATAAAAGTAAACAATTCCTGTGGATATTTTTCTTAATCAAAAAAGAATCATAACATGTATTTCATAAAAGTTAAAATTTACTCACACTAATGTAATAATCAAATTGGACTAGCATTAGAGAAATTTAGTATATAAGTGGTATATTGATTTTCTTAGTGACCTGGAAAACAAAGTAAGTTATGATAAAAGCTTTATATAATTATTGATAACTTGAAAGTGTGAAAGTTTAGCTTATAAGAAGGACAAAAAATTCAAAATCATAAAGCATTATCATCAGTCAAAAGTGCCACCCAGACAGGATAGCTGTTAGTGACACTAACTGCCATACTGAAAGGCCTGGATGTTCGTGAATGTATACTGTCTGTGCAGCAGTGAAGGTACTTTTGTGGCGAGCTAAAAGTCTTCAAGAGTTTGGTGGTAGGGGAAGAAAGGTAAGAGACCTGAACCCCCAGGATACTCTCCTTCAAAATTGGGGGTGGAACTGAGCTAAAGTCGGGCTATCACCTATATAGTACTCAAGGTTCATGCTAATGATAGGTGCATTTGAATCCTTGCCACTATGAATGTTGTGAGCTTGTACTAACCATTGTCAGATAAGTGAGATTGTTACCAACAACATTGGTCAGAGTTTAAAATTTATTTGACACTTGATTCATCAAATTAACATTACGCAGAAGCTTAGAAAAAGGCCTTCATCCTGTTTTTTTCAAAATGTATCAAAATTATTTACAAGCCATTATGCACAGATGAAGTAAGAAACCACAAGCTTGTTTTTATTTTTATTTATTTATTTTGTTTCACTCTTATTTGCTATTTCTTGTTCTTACAATATTACTGAATTGCCATTCTTTTACAAAACTGCTAGTGTGCCACCATTTAGAAAATTGTTCTTATTCTTGGTGCATAAGCTAGGGAAATACTTTGAAATGCTGCCAAGTGTTCCCCAGTTCTGCAAAGAATCTCTAATTTATTTAACACAAGACTTAAACAACTCACCATATTAAAAAAAAATCACTGCGATAAGACTAACACTGTTAAAGTATTAAATACTCAACTGACCTACCTGTCATTGATCCTCTCCAGTATATAAGAACCCATACCAGATCCAGTTCCACCAGCTATAGAATGACACAAAACAAATCCTTCCAAACTTTCACTCCCATCAGCTTCACGATCTATTATGTCGAAAATTTCCTCATACAGTTTTTCACCCTGAAACAAGAAATGATAATTAAATAGATTATGGAAGCAAAGATTTATAGATATTTTCCTCTAACTATTTATAGTATATTAGTATAGTACAAAGTTCGAGATTTGTACTTGTCGGAACTCCGGCGATTCTGGATTTAGGTTTTTTCTGATTAATAGATTTATGATCTAATATTCAAATAAAAATAAATCAAGTAAGATCGCATGTAAAAATTATAAAATTAAAAATATGAAATCATGATTTGTGAAATAATGGAGCATTTATGATCTAAAGGGTATTGAAATTTGCAAAATAGGAAAAAAAAATGCTTAATATTTATTTTATACTTTATTAAACATTTTCAAGGTAAATTGTTTAATTTGCTTCGTTTTTGTGCTAATATTTTCTCTTTAATTCCATAGACAGACATAATTTCTTGTTCAGTTACAAAGTTCCATTGTTCAAGTCCTGTAATTGCTATGTCAAGCATTTTGACTAAGTTGTCAATCAAAATTTTTTCATTTTCAATAACCTCTCTGGCACTTTCTTTACTATTGGTAGTGCTATTTTTTGAACCTAGAGCCATACTAAAGATTTCGTCACCCATTGATTGATGACTGGGGTTTCATTGCAACAAAAAATTTCTGTTGTATCATCCTGATTTACTGTCACTTCTCTAAATTTCTTTACGAAATCCATTAATTGGAAAATTTAACCTTTGGTTTGCAATATCTGAAAACCTTCAAATTCGCAGCTATCATCATCATCATCCTAGCATGAAATATGATAGCTGGCCATCAATTATGCTAAGCACTCTTTAAAGTATCTGGAGTCTTCTTATGTCATATACATTTAATTTTCCCATGCTATACTGCTCGAGATTTTGAGACGGATATACCTTTATCCAATTTTTGTTGCAATTCCACTTTTTGTTTAATGGACATCGAAACATGCTTTCGCTTTGTAGATCCTGTTGCAGCTCCAGAATTATTTCAACATAATTGAAAGTTCAAACTTTAACTTTCATAAAAATGCTGTAATAATAATAGTCTTCAAAAAATAATGAGCTGGATCAATTCAGAAATTTAAAGAACAGTGCAATCTGCTATATTAATCAAAATTCCTTGGAATCAGTAAAGTATAATTTTAGCCTAGCTTAATAGTGTCCACTATACATTATTGGCAACAGAAGACAAGTTGTTTTGTTAAATTTTGTCGTGCTTCTATCACGTACTGAGATAATCAAGCTTGAATTTTATTAGTTATTTATCATACTTACGTCTATTTCTTATACATCCTTAAAGCTGATCTGAGTCCTGAATAAATAAATTTCCACATATACTTAAGGCTTATCGAGAGCCGGCGCTAAATATCTTACTGCCTGATGCAGTCTCTGCGGGTCCTAAATTCTGCTAACAAGCACCTCTCTAAGTTCTAAATTTTTGCCACCCCTAAATTTCGGGTCCCAGTGCTTTCCCTAAATTCTAAAAATTTTGTCATGCCTTAATTTTGTTGCTCGGTACTTCTCTAAATTCCAAAAATTTTGTCTCCCTAAATTCAGCCACATGAGCTCTGGCGCTGGTTCTGGGTTTATGTGAATAACAAATCAGTTATTTTTGATTCAAATAGCACTAAATGCACTCTTTTAGCCTACAAGTATCATGAACAAAATCTATTTTTAGCATATGGAAAGATATTGTTAAAATTTTCCTCATCAACATTTCTTAGCGCATTTAACTTTAATCATAGTCACGGTAATGTCAACATACTCTTTCTTATTCAATTACTAATATTAAAAAAATTAGGTATCGCTGCATGAGTCATTACTCAAGTTGCCATATGCTGATAAACATGCGGTGATAAAAGCAAAATATAATAAATAATGATTCGCCAGGTTGGCGTCAGGAATATAAAATATTAGTAATGTAAAATTAATGATGTTTCTACATAGAATGTTTCGGTTTGAGATGTATGCCAAGCAGATACACAGCTACAGAGCCAAATTATTGATCACATAAATTTATGCTAAATAATTGTTTCTTCACTAACAAGGTATTTTATTTAGTGCTGCAGTGAAATTAAGAATCAGGACTCTCTGCATGTTTTATAGTGGAGGGGAAAAAAAAAAAAAAAAAAGTGTTCATGCATAAAGCAAGTTATCAGAAGACTATGCTAAATAAAGCTTTAAAAACTTACTTAAAAAAATAGGAAAAAATTGATGCTAAAAATCCAATTTCAGTGTATTAAAATTAAAGAAATTATTCTCTTTGTGTAATTGGTGCTATTTAAATCAACCCTTTGCAAAGAAGAAACCCCTTAATGTAACTGCATGGATGGTTAGTCATGTATAGGCAGTAACTGTTTGCAACTAGTTAATAAAAAAAAAATCATATTTTTTACATAAATTTTGAATATCTGAATTCTAAATAACTGCTATTCAGTATGTCTATTTCTATTGTATGTAATTAAGTAACTTATTTAGACACTGAATTATTAACTTAAAACCATATAAAATGAACTATTATGAAATCGGAAACTACATACTTGAGAAAATCCAACAGCCCAGTTATTACCAGCTCCACCTCCAGCTTCTGAGAGATAAATATTTTCTGGGTTATAAAGCTTTGCATATGGAGAATTCATAATAGAATGGATTACCCGGGGCTCCAAATCCAGTAAGACAGCTCTAGGAATATAATGCTCATCATCTGCCTAGTGAAAAAAAGAAGAAACTTTTAATTACTTAAAATAAAACAAAATTCTTCAATCAGCATGTACGTTTGCTAAAAAAAATAGATGCTTTCTTGTTAATGTCCTAATCTAACAAAATAATAAACCAAAATTACGACTTAAAAAATCAAAAAAACATAATGTTCACCAGCTTTTGGCAAGGCATGTGGCTCACTACAGAAAAAATTATAGAACCTGATATGAAAACTATTTAACAAGAGATAAATGGAAATACATTGTGATCCTTGACGAAGCACTACCTAAATAACTGCAACAAAAACAGCAAAAAAAAAGTATATATTCATTTTGGCTATGAAGAATAAAGAGTGAGAAATTGCTATACACTAACTCTGTAACTTTATTAAAAGAAAAGAGAGAGAGAGAAAATTTATTTATTAATGACAACAAAGGGAAAAAATGTACAAAACCTGACTTTGCCAGTGCAAAGATGATTTCAGTTAAGGGTTTATGATTGTGACAAGATTCTTTTACAATAGGAAATTAAAAATTTAAAATAAGAAAGAGTGGAAAAAAATGTGATGCAGACCTATAGTCTAGAACAAAGGGAAAGAGATCGAATGTTAAAAAAAATATGCATTACACTTAAGTTAAACGTTAATTAAAAGGCTCCGGATTCATTCTAAAGATTGCAAATACCCTCTTTATTACCACTCCCTTGTGCAATGTTAAGCACAGTACTTTAATGAATTAATATTTTTTTTTTCGTTCTGAAATTATGTCTACTGTATTTGTAGATTTAGTAAATTTTAACTGTTAGATTTAAAGACACTGATTCACTTTTCAATACAATTATAAACTCAAGGATATCAATTATCAGTAACCAAAACTATCTTATTTTTCTAGAAAGCATTGGTAACATTTTTATCCTCATCTTATTTAGGCATATTGATCCAATCAGCATTGGACATTATAAAATTTCAAAAAAAAGAAAAGAAAAGAAAAGAAAAGAAAAAAAAGAAAAGAGCAGTAAAATAAAAAGTAGCACACAATCATAATATAACCGAACTTCTTCTGTGATAACCTCATTAAGAAGCAACCTCTAAAAATGATCAGCAGTTTTGACAACATAAATTGACATTATTTATTTATAACGATCACCTCCAAAAAATCAAATCACTTGGAAATATGGATGATTATCTTAGAAAGGTTTTACTCTATTGTACAAGTTTCTCCAATTTAAATGATAAATCAGAGATTAAAGAAAATACTTTCATTCTCCTTAACCCTAGAATGTTAAACTGTGTAAATTTTACTCACAAAACAATGAAATGCACGTGCAACTTCTAAACTGTGCACACTAGCTCCACTATCACTCAGATATACTACCTATGTTCTTTCGTATTTAAGATACAGTTGTAACTGCATGTGGGATATTTTCTGTCTTTCAGGAAATACCCTTCTAAATATAAGGGGTTAGAGTTCTAAGGTTAATACAAAATTAAAAAAAAAAAAACTATACATATATATATGTCATGTCTGATATTACAAGATTTAAAGAAATGAAGTAAAAATACAATGATAATGAAAATAAATTAGATGAATAAAAAAATGGATCTGTAAATTATCTGGCATGGTAAGACATAGCACATTTAAATGTAACTGGACATCTTAATTTTTGTGTTTGAGCTCTTTATTAGCATTTGGGGGCAGGTTTTACTATTTTCACTTGAATCTTAAAACTGAAATCTTTTCAAAATAGAAGTGTTGCCAAATCACAAGCTAAGCCAGCTATAATATGGAATATTATTAAATGGCCATTATCAATTGGTAAGCAATGTATGTCAACCTATGGGATTACAATGTCAATAAACAGTAGTGCTGCAAAACCATGCATAGGCTTTCAATTTTTACATGTTAAAATAATTTTATGAGCCATAAGTGCCCCAGCAATAATATAACTGAAAATAGGTCAGTCATCCTAAGTTCAGATCCTGGCAAATGGGTGCCAATATAGAAGTTTTTGTGGCTTTCCCCTGCGTATCATGAATACGAAGCCAGTTCCCCATGGAAATTCCCCCACAAAAAAAATTTATGTGTGCATAGTATATAATGAATGCATTAAAATACCATTAGGATCTCTGGTAACAACACTGGCAAAATTTGAATAGTTTTATGAATGAAAGGGAGAAGATTAAAAATAATATAATGCTTTGAATCTGATGGGTATTTTGGAAGTATAAATGGAAAACCTCGCTTGTAAAATTTTCACAAACGAAACAATAAGGTACTTAATAAGCAGCAAGTTCATCAACATAATTCCATGTATTACTGAAAAGGCAAAATTTTAAATATAGTAGTAAAGTATTCAAAATGTAGCTCAGTATTTATGCTTATTTTCAGAGAAATAAAAATTCATGTATTTAAAGGTTTAAATTTTAGCTTATTAAAATGTTCAGCAGAGAACCAGACTTTACACTTGATCAGGACTACTATTTCTCCTTATGTGCTTTGGAAACATGTAAGTTCTGAGTAGAACAGTGAGTTTACCTAAACTATGTTCTTTTGAACTGTAAAAGAGATGACAAGAAAAGGAAGGGTTTAATTACCCATTATTCTTCACGATGTACAGGTGCTCCTGCACTTCGGGATACAACTACCAGCACTTATGGTCGGAATGTAAGAAAATAAGAACTACAACTTAGTTTATATAAGAGCTAAACTCAAATACTGTACACAGACAAATAACACTAAGATTGGCCTTTTAGATTTTTATGGCTATAGTATGCAGAATGAGGGAAAACTACAATATGTCTTCAATAACAAGAGGACTAATTTTTTTGCCTTAAAGGCGGACAACAACTGACTGAAAGCGTGCGTGAAGTGAAGTGGCGAGAATGTCTCTCTCTCTAATTAGCAAAAAGCGACAACTTAAATACTTAAGAGTTAGCAAGCACAATTTGCATACACAGACTAACACGTTTATTCTGGCCGGAAGTGTAAAATAAGAGAGGACAGTAAAGTTTTAAAATAAAATAAATGTTAGTAAAACTTGAGATCCTTATAACTTGAGAAATTTGAAGTTTATCAACAAATACATTCATTCATTCATTAGCTCAAGGTCATGGCAGTAATGTTTTATTTCTGAAGTTATAGTCCGCAAATTATCAGTTGCTCACTGAAATTTTTCACTGCATCACAAGTGTCCTTTTCAGTCTCTGATGGCTAAAGAGGATAATTATCCAAGATCATTTTGCCAGTTTTAAGTTGTTTAGTGGTGGTGGGAATTGTTATTTCATGCTCAGAATTATATGGCTGCTTTCAAGCCAAAGAATTTTAAAACTAAATATCGTAATATTACATTGGAAGATATTTTCATTATACCTTGAAAGAGGAAAGACGTGAGACTATTTAATTCTAATAATATTTTTTTTTGAAAAAAATAGGATATTAGTTTTCTTATTTATTCAGAATGATAGGACTGATTTTTTCATGAATTTAAAACAAAAGATAACAAGAAATTTGAAAATGCAAATATTTATTTCCAAAACAAATTCATTCAAGAAGCAGAATCATGTATTCCTCCAAAAGTTCTATTTTTTCCTGAACTCCTCCTTCACTTGCATAGTATTTAGCATAAAGATACCATTCAGGCATAAGTAAAAACGTTTTTTGTTTACCAAAAAAGTTACTTTGGTTGCCTTCTCCTCCCTGCAGAGAGAGTAACAAATTGATAACTAAAGCTCTTTTTAAGATTATGTGTAAAGTATCTAAATAGCAGAGAGAAAGATATTTTTTCACACGAAGTAAGAACCCACCTGCGAACTAAAAAAAATGGCCTTTCTATAATTATTATTATTTTTTTTTTTTTTTTCCATAATATAAGAGAAGCTAACAATAAAGTTATACATGACACAAATTTATTACAGTTTTGTAAATTTTTAATATCTAACTTAGCTAATTTTCCTTTCCTGTTCAAATAAACCATCTCCATCTTTTTCTTTCTTTCCTTCTAGCCTTTCTAATGTAATGTGGTTATTTGATTAAGCAAATTTTTAATTATTAATTTACAACTTAACTGAGAATATGTGGAGAGTACAAAATAAAAATGGCTTAGGATTTCAAAGAAAACTACAAAATCTATTTTCCCCTTTTCAGTGTTCACTAGTTTTTGTTGCAGTAAGGCTGCTGAAAGCTGGTAGTTTCACCAGGCTTCAAACACCACCGAACGAGTTAGCTGCACAGGAATTTTCATGGTTTTCCAAATGTGTAACATGAATAGCAGCCAGCTTCTCTGAAAAGTTCTCAATGATGGCATCCCTTCATTTACATAAATAGACAGCTCACAATATCTTGGATTTCTGGTGGATATATATTGGAAGAAGAGGAATCAAGGTGTAAACTGAGAGGATTATTTTGGAATTATAATCAAGAAAATGCCACTTATTCTTGACATATTGAGGAACTCTGAAACTTAGTGGCCAAACCAGTATTTGGAAAGTTAATTATCATGAATAATGATTTATAGAGTCACCAATATGTTAAAACTTCCATTAATTTCCATTTCTTCATAATTTTAGTTTAATTAAAAAAGGTTTTTGAAAAGATTTTTGTGAGCAACGAAATCTAATTACACAGTCTTGCCTGCTATGAGTAACAAAATCTAATTAAATGGTGAATAACTTTTTTGAGAAAAGGGCACAATCACTTTTTGTTAAAGAAACTGCATATGGAATTCCTTTCAAGATTATCATTGACAGCAGTGAGCAGCACCTAAGTTTTTACAAATGTCTCTGTAATTCACTTGTATAAATTAATTTTAATGTAATGAAATATTATCCTGTAATTGTCGTGTGGAGGATTCTGATTAATTTATCAATCGAAATTTTTTCTCTTTCTTCACTATCGGTAGCGGTATTTTCTTGATCTAAAACCATATTACAGATTTTGCCATCCCTTAATTCATTGATAATTGAGAATTGCCATCACAATGAAAATCTTCTTCTATATCATCACCATTTATCACAGCTTCTCGACATTTCTTTACAAAAATAGAAAATTTCACCTTTGGTTTGCGATATCTGAAAACCTTTAAAATTCACGGCTGTCATAAAATTTAGCTATTGTTCACTATACATATTTGGCTATGTATTATGAGATTGGCGACTAAAGACAAGTTGTTCCTCTAAATTTTATCTTGCTTCTATCGTGCTCTGAGACAAATTAAGCCTGAATTGTATTAGTTTAGTTATTTATTATACTTATGTCTATTTCTTGCAGATGCTTAAGGCTTATCTGAGTCCTGAATAAATAAATTTCCACATATACTTAAGGCTTATTGAAGACCTGCGCTAGATATCTTACCGGCTGGTGCAGTCTCTGTAGAAACCAAAATCTGCTACCAAGTGTCTCTCTTTGTCTTCCCTAAATTCTACTGCCCAGTGTGGCCATACCTGGCGTGGTTCTGGGTTTATGTGAATAACAAATCAGTTATTCTTAATTCAAATAGCAATAATGTAATCTTGGTCTATGAGTATCATTACAAAAATCTATTTTTAGCATATGGAAAGAAATTTTTGTTAAATTTTTCCTCATCAACATTTCTTAGCACATTTAACTTAAATCTGTAATCAGCCCCAAGTGTAATGTCAACACAAAAGGTTATCATACTTTTTATTATTCAATTACTAATATAAAAAAATGTTTAGGCATCACCTACATGAGTCATTACTCAAGTTGTCATGTGTTGATAAACATGTGGTGATGAAAGCAAAATATAATAAACAATGATTTGCCAGGTTGGTGTCACGGATATAAAATATTAGTAGATGTAAAATCAATGATGTATCTACAAAGAATGTTTCAGTTTGAGATATATACCAAGCAGATACGGATTAAAGCCAAATTCTCGATCATACAAAATTTATGCTAAAATGATTATTTCTTCAATAAAGAAGTATTTTAAACCATTAAAAACAACATTCCTTCACCCAGAAATGTATTATTTTTGTCAAAAATCTTTAATACTGAACATAATATAGAAACAATATGTAAAAACCACATATAATCAAATAATTTTAACCAACCACATTAACAGTTGTCTTCACTCTCGGAAGGAGCAGTTGTTGTAGAGGTTGGCTGTAAAGTGATGGTGTTGTAAAAATTGATATATTCTTCTGGTATATAGTGAATAATTTTTTTGATATCATCAATTTTCTTTATGTTAATGACATTCATCTCAGGACAGGTTGGTACAGAGGGAAGAAGTATTTCTACCTCTGGTATCTTTAATTTTATATTTTTTTAAATCAAATCATTTAACAAGCAAATAAAACCCCCTCTTTCATCTCAAAATAGTAATAAGCGAATATTTTAAAAGATTGCTTTGCTCATCTACATTTTCTTTATGCAATATCCTCCAAAGGCATAACTTGATTTTTGAAGCGTCTTGGCCACCAACTGTTGAAGTCTAGTATGACGTTGTTTTCCAGCAATACAGCTGAAATTTTACCATCAGAACTGCTTTTATAGATAAGGTTCTTATACTGGGTTGATGTGCAAACTCGAGCCATTTTTCTAACATAATGTTTAATAATACTTAATGTTCTATCACAGGGCAGGACTCTAAGTCCTCTTGCAGGAAGGTATTGCTTGGCAATCAAATTTTTTCTGGTCACAGAAAAAGCTAAGAAGAACTTTAAAACGGCATGATTTCTGTTTTGACCTGTGCAACCATCTGAAAAAATATGAATATCTTTTGCTAATGCCAGAATATGCTGTCTTATATTGCCATATAAAAATGAAGAAACAAAGGAGAAGGTAAAGGAAAGGTTTCACCTGCAATGCCCACACTACGCCTTGCGCTGTGTTAAGTGGTGAAAGGGATCACAGGTTGCACATGTTCCCTTTCAACAATAAACAGTTTCAACAAATCTTCGACCGCTTGCCAGTACACACAGAGTTGAATTAGAGATGTGTCACTTCAACTCTAAGTGCATCTATATCTGTAGAATAAGAAAACGTTAAAACCTTAAGATCGGCAAAATATGGAAATATGGCCTTTCAACAATAATCGATTAAATTAATACAGATTGATGACTTCTTAGCACAAGCATATTCTTACAAAATGAACAGTTAAAAATACCTTCACCATTAAACAATAAAATAAAAGAAACTATTGGTAGAATTATGAATAATCAATCCCTTATGAAACTGATTTAAGAAAGACTCCTCTATTACATTTACTTACATGCATTACATATACAGTCAAAAGTCTTTAATCCGGACTCGTCGGGACTTCGACGATTCCGGATTATCGATCATCAGTTTAAATCTGGTAAGATGGCATGCAGAAATTATAAATATAAAAATATGAAATCATAATTTACGAAATAAAGAACAATTATGATCTAAAGGGTATCAAAATTTACAAAAAAAAGTTTAATGTTTATTTGTTTACTTTATTAAACATTTCTTTCAATGCAAGTTGCTTCGTTTTAAGTGATAATACTTTCTCTTTAATTCTATAAACAGACATAATTTCTTGTTCAGTTACAAAGTTCCACTGTTCAAGTCCTATAATTGCTGTGTCGAGAATACCAACTAATTTATCAATCGAAATTTTTTTGTTTTCAATAACCTTTGTGTCACTTTCTTCACTATCGGAAGAGAATTATAATGAAGAGGAATTTAATTTAAATCATATCAAAGACGAAGTACATCGAGATGAAATACTACATTTAGTAAGGAATTATCAGCCAAATAAAATAAAAACATCTGCCCTGAAGATAAGGATAGTGCTGACAGATCAACTTCTAGTTCATAGTGCATTCCTACATTTGAATATATAAGCATTGTTACCTGATAAAAAAATACATCTTTTCTGTCTGTACCTTCAGTAGCAAAATCTTCCAAGACTCCTTCTACAATATTAAAACGAAATTTTTAAAATACTCTGGTTTATCAGTGAATTTTACTTTTAATAATTACTTTATAAAACAAAACAAATATATACCTGGATTAATACCATGCTCAGCACAAAGTTTTTTCCAAAATTCAAACCCAACTGCAAGAAAAACAATATATATTCATAGAGTAAATAAAAGTTACGAAAGGAAATAAATAATAAAAAAAATCAGAGACGAAAATTTAACTACAGGCATGAAAATGACTATTTTAATACAGATCTCCTATTTCGTAAATTCCAGTGACCGAGACAGGAGTCAAATGTGCATAAATAATACTCATTAGGAAAGTTTGAGTAAAAGACTCGTTTGTAAATAAATTATAAAAATAACATTATTTTTCTTAACAAATAAAAAGTTCCCCAGTGGTAAATGAAATATGAAAATTCTTTTGAAGATAACATACTTTGATTTCCGCATTGTCCAAGCTGCAACGTTATCATTTCTCGCGGCATCTTGAATATACAAATTTAAAAACTGAAACAGTTGTATTTTACCGCTATATACGATATTGTTCAAAGGATGAATCTTCATATCAACAAGATAAACAATAAGATAAAATTTAAATTAAAAAAACCAATAAAGTTACTTAAGAAACTTGATAATGCTTGAAATAATAAAAGAATAGAATAATAAAATTTCTTATTCGAAGAAAAACGGAAGAATAAATTTTTAACAAAACAAATTTTCGTCAAAGCTGACGAAAATTAAGCAGACTAAAGGGAAATGAAACAGACTAAAGGGATATCACGATACCAAAATCCCTTTAGTTCGCTTCATTCATACTAAACGTATGCGTAGCTTTTAAAAGAAATTTTTTGCAGACCTATATATTTCATTTCAAGATGGAATGAAGTTTATCTCATCCAAATAAACTTCTTCTTAGCCATTTTTTTGTTTGTTTTTACTAAAATTTTGCTGAACGCGAAGAAAAACTTAGTTCGGCATATACTTAATTTTTTTTTGTGAATAGATCCATGGAGGTTAGAATATATCAATTCGGAATAAAACCTCCATGGAGCAAACTAAGGCTCCTTACTAAGGTATATAGGAGCCTTAGAGCAAACCGTAGGCAAAAAAAAAAAAAAAAAAAAAAAAAAAAAAAAAAAAAAATGAGAAGCACAGTAGCAAACTGCATAATAGACGCAAGACATGCTAAAACAAAAAAGGAAAAGGAAAAAAGATATTTACTTCTTTTCCTGCATCTTCACCAGGGGGGTTGGTGTAACGAAAGACGTAAATACATTAGTTTCTGGACCAACAAAGACAACAATTAAAGTCTGATACTTAAAATAATTTATTACTTCAAAAATTTAAATAATTTTATACTACTTTTTAGAAGTTACATTTAGGTTACAATCGAACAGCTCTAAAAATTGCGTAACCTTCAGGTTTTAAATTATTGTAATTACACGCTATTTTTCAGTTAAAAAAGTCATCTTTGATTAATACTTTTGTTTTTTAATTAGGTTACTATGATAACCTACATTTGTTAGAAGTAAATTATAATCTTTATCAATATTATTACCCAACTACAGTGCAACACCTTGAAAAGAGCATCCAGTAGGCTTGCAATATGCATCATGCGTAAGTACTGATAAAACGTTAACATTGCAGAAAATACTTCCATGATTTGGTTTGGTTTTATTAGATTATGACAAAGCACTCTAGGGCTATCTGCCTTAAGGGAGGGATAACTTCGTGGAGGACTTCCTAAGGGAAACTGACTCGTATACACGTTACACATGGGAAAAATCACGAAAACGCACATGCAGCCAGCCCGTTCGCGGGATTCGAACCTCGGACCGAACTACCGGTGTTCAGCAACGTTACCGCTCGGCCGCTGGTGGGCAAATGCTTTCATGAATATATCCATTTATGCATAGCTAACTTGTAGATGGAATGAAAATTAACATAAAGAGTAGTATGGCAGGAAGCATTGTGGTTAGTGCAGATATGGGGACAGATGACTATCTGCCTGTAGCAAAAGAAGTATTGGTTTATTATTCGTGTGTATAAATAATAAAGTACAAATAGGCTGTTTTCCTGTAGATGGCATTTCTGGACTTCAATTAAGTAATTTAATTAAGCAGTGACTATTATTAGTTGAAAAACTGGCACAAAATAGTATCCTAAACATTCAGTGGTGCTACATGCAATAGAAGCACAGCAAAACACCTAGGACACGGAGTATAAAGATACTCTGTCACCTAGGATGTTCATTTTATCCCAACCACACTGCGCTCATGTCACACACTAAAATTAGTAAGGAATGCATTAGGAGAGAAGAAATATCTAATTGATCTAATGAGATTTCATTGTGAAATTACAAGAATTACAGGACGCAGGAAGATTGGGTCTATCAAATAATTTCTGAAATATCCTATTTGACATGGTTCGAGGAAAAAATTAAAATTAAAAATTGTAGCACAAATAATCAGAACTTCAGTTGTTGATGCAACTGAAGAATGACAAGGCTTTACCTTAAAAACGGTTACATAGGGGCGCATACCCTCACGTGTTGAACATTTTCTAACACAACCTATCACGGTTGATCTCAGGCCTACTGCCCAAATGAGGTGCTAGAATTCATTGATAAAATAAAACCCAAGAAGGCACCAGGCATAGATTCAATTTCGAATCAGTAATGTATATAGTGTGGATTACGGTCTTAATTAATCTAATACTTAAAAAGTGTTACTTTCCTGACTGTTGGAAAATTGGCGCAGTCATTCCTATTCCAAACCCGGGTCAAAATTTAAGTCTCCCTGTCAACTACTGGCCAATTAGCCTATTATCATCTCTCTCAAAAATATGAATTTGTTTTACTTAAACGCCTGAATGAATTCTACCTTGATCGAAATTTAATAATCCCGGAATAATTTAACTTCCGGCCTGATTACTCCACGATACACTAGTTACTCCGTGTAGTAGAATTCTTTCACGAGGGCTTTCGTAGACGAGAGAAAACTGGAATTGCGTATCTTGACATTGCTAAAACTTTTGATAGGACTTGGCATGACAGGCTTACTTACAAGTTCATGCGGCTTGGTTTTTCGGCACAAGTCATTAAAATTCTTAACTTGTACCGAACACGTAGATCCTTTCGAGTGCGAGTTAGCCACGAATACTGAACTCCCCGCCCAATCTCTGCCGGCGTCCCTCAGGAAAGTATACTTTCGCCTCAAATATTCAACATATTTATAAATGATATTCATAAATCACCTAACGTCGATCTAGCTTTACATGCGGTCGACACAGCCATCATCTGTCAACATTCCAATACCACCACGGTAACGTCTGCACTGCATAATTATCTTTCAAACCTAGAGTTCTGGCTCGGACTGTGGAAGGTCAAAGTTAATGTCGTAAAATGTGGGTGCCACTTTATTTATCCGAAGAACTCACCCCAATTTAACTAACTTGCAATTCTTCAGAGAAACAGTTCCCTGGGTTCCTACTTATAAGTATTTAGGAGTGATACTTGATTCAAAATTAATTTGGCAACCTCACATTCCAAAACCAGTTTCCAATGCGAAGGTATTCAAATCCCAATCACTGCCTTTTTCTTTTTTTTTTTTTTTTTTTTTTGCTAGAAAAAGCGACCTGCCCACGAAAAACAACATCTTGCTCTATAAATCAAGGCCTATTCTCACTTATGCAAGACTCGTATGGGGGGCGGCAGCAATTACTAACAGGAAATATATCGAAATTTTCCAAAGTTGTATGCTTCGGCAAATCTACAAAGCTCCTTTGTTTGTCACGAACGACGATATTAATAATGCAGCCAAAATTCTTCTCTTAAATCGCTTTATACAGAGACATTCGGTAAACTTTTTCAAAAAGATTCCTTCGATTGGTAACCCCATTCTCCATTCATTGCCTATTTATCATCTAGGACTTGCGACGTCTAGAAAAAGACCCAGAGCCACTCTGGAAAGCGCCCATAATGCGTTATCATATCCTAAGAGGTGTTGCTAAGGGGACGAGATACCTCGAAGCTATCACTCAACTTGTTTACTGAATTCCTTGTTACTGAATCCGCCTAAGCGAATTCGCTGGTCTTTCAGCTTCGCTCTTTGTTTCGTAATCGAGAAATTATTATTACTTTCAACCGTAAGCGGTCGTAACTTAAGAGTAAGCACCTCTTTGTTTACTTTACCGCTCGGCCATTTGCGGGCCCTTTTGAAACGGAAGGCGATAACTTTATTTAAAATGAATGTCAGAAATACAAAAATGTTTAAAAAAGTTGGGTGGTTTTTAATATACTTGCACAATGCTTGAAAAAAAAAGAGCAAGTCATTAAGAAGAAAAAATAAATTTTTGCATAAAATTTAGCATTTTTCTTAATTTAAAATTTTTTAAGTTTTTGATATTTGATTCTTACGATTTCAAAAATAAAATATTTGACTAAAATATGAATAACATTTTAAGAAATTAAATGCAGGATGGTAAAATTGTGTGAAGCAATGGGCACAATGATAAAACTCTTTAAAGCAACGGTATGCAAGTCATCCTAAATTAAAATGTCGGATATACATCTCTCTTATTTACCGTATTTGACGGCATATAAGACGCACTCTTTTTTTCCTAAATTTGGTCTCAAAAAAGTTACTTGCGTCTTATACTTGAAGGACACATTCTTATACGTGAAGGTAATTGCATTCAATAATTGTTTATTTGGCTTTTACGAAACGTGATAACTAAAAGAAACCATGCTATTTAAACTTTTTTCCTTGTGTGTGGCCGTCTAAATAAGGGTGCGTCTTATATGCCGTCAAATACGGTATATCTTTTCTGAATGGAGGCGTGTTAACTGTGCTTTACTGTATTTTATCTTTTAATATATGCAGTTTTCAAACGCATCGTAATCTGGGTCACAAAGTATTCTTCCAAAAGAAACGCAAATCAAACAAATAAAATTAAATTCTGGAAAATTAATATTAATAAATATATTTAAATGCGGTGTTCGAATGAATGAATAGAAAATTTAAAACCATTATCTGAAGAGACAGTGCAACACAAACAATTAAAATAAAAGTCTAAAAATTTAAAAGTTACCTAAATAACTATGACTTGAGAAATATAGTATAAAGAAAACTATTTAAAAAAATAAAGAAAAGATGCACCTTTTATTTAAACTACGCAGTTTGAATGAGTAAATATAAATTTTAAAACAGTTATTGGAAAGAAACCATGCAACTTAAACAATTAAAATGAAATTCGAAAAAAAAAATAAAATAATAACAATTATAATTAAAAGTATAATATAAAGAACATTATTTTGAAAGAAAGAACGATATGACATTTTCCGCTCATGCACAGTGTAAAAAGGGAAAGGAAAATAGGTTGCCATATTATTAAGAAATTCGCCAAATGAACTATTCTTGGACAAAACTTGAAAAAAAGCGCCACGATAAATTTTTGAATTTCTTTGTAAATTTCGTACCAAATTTTACAAAAGTTAATATTTAGGCATAATTTGAGTCGTAGAATCGAAATATATATAAAAAAATTGATATGTTATTTCAGAAAAAGTCCGATTTTATGTCAAAATACCTATGTTAGAATCAGAGCCGGCGCCCGCCTGTAAAATAGCTGAAGTCATGCTCCCTCCTTTTTAAAAATTTTTTATAGGAAAAAAAAAGTTTTGAAGAAAGCA